ATTCCTCAGTGAGGTACTATGAGCATAGTATGCGCTCTTGCCTGTCCCAGTGGGGTACTGCGAGCATGATTTGTGCTCCTGCTGGCCTCAGTACGGTATATAGTCTTTTCATTTTTATGCCTAAGTACAAATGAGCAGTGTGTTCATGTTGAACCGGCACACGGGCACTACTGGGTCTGTCTTCACTCGCGGGATTTTTGTTTGAGTTATTCAACTCAAACAAAAACTACCGCGAGTGAAGTCAGACCCAGTAGTGCCCGTGTGCCGGTTCAACATGAGTTCGCCAACTCGCAGACCAAACCCCATCATCTACTGTAAGCAGTGTGTTGCTTAAAACGGTAAACGGCGTTGTTTTTCTTTCATCTGCTTACTTCTCTTCCCCCTACATCTCCGTCTTTCTCATCGAGCATCGACGAGGTTAGGATTAACAGATTACGTTGATCTGCTTTGCAGTATGTACAATAACATACAAATTTTCATACCTTTACTTGATACTGCACTAATAACATGACAAAACTATGCCATTCCTATGGTCATAAGGAACGCGTCTAAATAAATTTGATCAAAATCGGACCAATAGATTTCGTGATTACCTCTTACATACAAACAAACTTATCTCTTTATATATTACTGTAGATGTAGACGAAAGGGCATTCACGAACGTACGTGGAACTCGTGACGACAACTTCACCATTAAACATCAAAAATTAAGAAAATTTCTTTAAAAGAAGTTCCTTATAATCAAAATGCCCTTAACTGAGATTGACGCAGCCATTATCTATCGGATATATTTAAATAAGTTTGACCCGTCGTAAAGAGCCCACCTTGTGCTTAATTGCTCCAATTAACTAAGTGTGCGGAGTTTGAAAGAGGATCATCCGAAGAAGAGGCGAAAAGGAAAGGGCGCTTTGCCTCACTGAAAGTTCGCCTAATTCGATCAGTTTCCCTTTTGACATCAATTGACTTTTTGAAAATTGAACTGAAACTGCGTAAAGATTGATTTGAAAATTAACGATCTGTCAAAATTTTCTTTGAAATGATTCATATCAATGTCTGTTGCACTAACAAGGAGAGGGCTACGGATTCATCAAAGATAGATTTGGAATTTACCATAAAAAAATTAAAATTCATAATTTATGACCGAGCGACTTAGCGAAGTAGGTTGAAATATTTTTTAGCAAGAAAAATAGTATACATTGATTTTTTGCACATTCAAAAACCGAAGAGTACTATTTTGGTGAAAAAACAAAGAAATCATTTTTCGCTTTCCAAATTTTTTTTTTTTTAATGAAAATCGCAAATACGACTCCACTGATGTACAGAAAACTTAATTGAAGTTTAGATCTCTATAAACTGCTCTTTGACACAGAAATCTTGATCTCTGTAAATAAATTAAAACGTGAAATATAAAATAAAATGTTTGTAGAGATTTTGTTGATTTCATCCTTTATTTTATTTATCTCACTTATAATGACATAAAAGCTGAACTCTGTTAACCCAGGTTAAAAGAAGAGAGATTCAGATTTCCAACTCTTGTTATAACGCTGAATTTAGATAAAATCCGGAGGAGTTATGAATTTTTATGAGGGAATGGAACACCAGACATTGGAGAGAAAAAAGTGCCTCCGGCTAATTCAGCCAAAAAATTGTTTGTTTTTTTCTTTAGTGTGAAAATTTGTATTATAGCGCTTTAAAGGGTGCTTAAAATGAAGCTTAACTGAATTGTTTTTCTTAAAAAAATTGGCCTACTTTACTTGAAGCATCGTTTAGTTTTGTGAAAGTATGTGTGTATATCTAATCTCATTAATACAATCCTACACATTATTTTCTTATCTTGCGTAAAAATAAACTGAAGTTTAATCTCCACATTATCATTTTTTCAACATTCTCTTGAAATTCATTAGTTTTCGAGGTTCGCTTGACCAATTAATGTCTTTCAATTAATTAGGGTTTTTAGTTGAGATAAAAATGTCAGTGTCACGGGCGGGATTCGAACCCACGACCCTCGGCTCAATACGTCGCTGCTCTACCACTTGAGCTATCGTGACTTCGATCCACTCGGACACTAACTTCCCATCTCAACCCCACCATTTTTTTTTTAATTTTTCCTCCTTTTTGCCATTTTTCAAATGTCATTAAATCTATTTGATTCTCGGCGACAAATAAAATCGCCACGGAGAGTTTTTATGAAGATATACTTCATTTTAACTTATTAAATTCACTAGTTTTCGTGGTACGCTTGACCAATTAATTTGAAAAATGGCCAAAAGGAGGGAAAATTCAAAAGGTGAGGTTGAAATGGGAAGTTAGTGTCCGAGTGGATCGAAGTCACGATAGCTCAAGTGGTCGGGTAGCGGCGTATCTAGCCGAAGGTCGTGGTTTTGAATCCCGCTCGTGACACTGACATTTTTATCTCAACTAAAAACCTTAATTAATATTCTCTTGAAAGTGCTCAGCATAGGATTTTTAGATATGTACATTGAGTTTCATTCAACGATTTCGCTATAAATTATTCTAAAATTATAATTACAATAAATATACATGCACTTCAAACCAGACCTAAAACAATTATAATAAATTTCTCCATCAATTATTAGATGATCGTATAAACTGCCCAGAACTACTTCAACTAATTAATTTTACCATTCTTTGGGCAAAAACCCACATATATGTCCGGCGTTTAGAGAAAAGTTGTTCGTTGGGTCCCACTTAATTAAAGGGTGACAATGGCAGAGAGTATCAGGGTCCTCTGTTACAATTTTTAGAAGAAACAGAACTGTTTTACTTAGATAAACTTTATAGATCTCCCATTTTGTTTCTTTGTGTATATTGAGAGTGAATGTATTTATTAGAGTGAATGTGTAATGTAAGACGATAATATATTATATATCCCATTTAATTAGATTAATTATATGATATGTGTAGAGGGTGATGGAGGAATATTAAGTACTTCACCATTCCAATTGAGTGAATGGTATGTAAATAGGAAAGAACGTATTTTGAATGAATGAGAGTGTGAATGGATTTAGAAACTGACTGTTTAGGAAGTTGAAATTACCTATCTCTTGATAACCGAGATGGATAAGGATGAGGTTCTGTCCCCACATGACCAACAGCTAGAGAGTGTGAGTCTCAATGTCTGCTGGAAATTAACTGTAAAGTATAAAAGCTGGAATTGCTGGTGGAGTGCGAGAAGTTACAGGCTCAACTGTGCACATGTACATGCATGTGCAGATTTGAGCTTGTATTGGGTGATTCGCTGCTCGTACAACAAAGTTCGTCAGGTGCTTCTACACCTCAAATACCAAAAGCTCAAATGAACCATGGTCTGATTCTCTGTCAAGCCTTTCACTGATAGTGAACATTTTACGTTTATTTCAACTATCTATGGTTCCCATCATAAATCTATTCTTGAACTATTAATTTTAGGGGAAATTCAAACAACCCTTGAAAAAACCGTTATAATTACTCTTAGAAGACACCCTTTTAGAACTTTCAACTTAATTTTTTAGTTTAAAAAAAACTTTTCTTCCTTTTTATGCTTTTCAATTTAGTTAGTTGGTAAATAAATTTTGCCCAGGACAAAAAGTTGAATTACTAGATTAACCCCACTCCCCCTTTTTCACATCGTCACAACTTTTTTCTCCATTTACCATAAAATTTTTGCATTTTGGTACAATGTAATTAAAGAATGGGGTATACCACTAGAAAGCATATTAAGTTGTATGAAATTTGTCAAGATCTACTATCTAAGTTTTTGAACAAGATTGCAAATATAATTTTTTTACAAATTTTAAATTTAGCGATTTTTGAAGGATGTAGCATTTCTTTTATTACCAAAAATTAAATTGAAAGTTCTATAAGGGTGACTTCTTAAAGGAAATTTAATGGGCTTTTCAATATAATTTAAAAAAAAGAAAAAACTTAAAATGTTTAATATCTACAAAAGGGCTGTGAATCGGAGGTTCATATGGATTTTTTTGTTGCATTTGAGGTGTTGAAGCACCTGATGAACTTTGTTGTACAGATTCTGTAGAATATTTTAAGATTGTATGCAAATAGGAGCAAATATGTGTTATTGTCATTAAGATGCAATATTGATAATGAAGATGTTAAACAGAAAGGGGCCAAAGTGTGATCCATGGGGGACTCTAGAAGATGTGAGAAAAGAGAAAAGAATACTAGGTTTTTAATTTAAAATATTGTTTTCTATTTGTAATGTAGGAAAAGAACCAACTTAAAATAGTGCCTGGAAGCCATAACTGCTAATTTGTCTATAAGATGTGGGTGATTAACTTTGTCAAACACCTTGGAAAGGTCAGTATAGATAGATATAGGTCAGTATATTATTAACTCCTGTGAATAGAGTTGTATCACATGGACTTCAGCTTGGAAAAATGTTGGGTTTAGTACAAGGAGCTTTGTTATGGTATAGTTCAGCCTTTTTTTCCCTACACCTACACTCTGTTACATTTTGGATTCATCTCTGCACCATATTTTGGCTTTTTCATGAAACCATCTATGTCCACTAAGAAGGGTCTGGCAAATTGAGTTTTTCTTTCATTTTGACAGGTACCGATAGAACCAACTCATTTATTTTAATCCTTTCCAGAATTTTGTGGTCTTTGTATCTCGGGTATGTTGACACTCTTAAAAGCCAACTTTGGTACAAAAATAGAGAAGGATAGAAGGTCGCGACCACTATTTCCATTGTTGTATTGGGGAAAGTGCATATGCTAACTTCATGAACTTTTAAACTTAGTTTTTTAATTTAAATTTGTTTGTTTCTATTTACCAAAACCAATTGAAAAATTCAGTTCCTGTTTGGACTTTATTAAAGTAATTAAATAACCTCAAAATGAGGTTATCATACAAATATGAAATAAACAATTTCATTGATCTACTTAGATCCATAACAAGTCACTTTTTGCATTTTCTTCACTAATAAATTGCGAATAATACTTTTATTTATTTCCTTTATGTTTTATTATCCTTTTCAGGGTAATGGCGTTTGTACAAAAAGCAATAGCAAGATTACATGAACCAGAAAAATTAGAACAACTGCTTAAAGAATTAGGAAAGAAACACCACGGATACAAAGCTAAGGTCCAATATGTTGATGTGAGTAAAATCTTTAATTATAAATAAGCATTTCATAATTTATTTTGAAACATGTACATTTTAGCAATGTTTTAAAAACAATTCAATGACATCATTTTTTTCAGATGTTAATTTAATTTGTGTTTTTGTTTAGCTTGTTGGACCTCAGTTTATTCAGGCGATTCAGCCATCCTTAGACTCCGAATGGACTGAGGAGGTAGCAGATGCCTGGAAACTTTTGTTTGCTCATGTCGGCTACATTATGAAAGGGGCCATGATCGAAGCTGCAGAGGAAGCAGCCAAAGAGAGCAAATAGCAGTCACAAAGGCGGGCCTCCACCTCCAAGAGGAGATGGAGCCTCGCCAGGCCACCGAAATAAATAAAACTTAATACAAATCAAAAAGAAAAGTCTGTATAGGCCTGTTTCTATTTTCATTACTTTACAAGTATCAGTCGATACATTAACACACTATCAGGGGAAAACTAAAATAAATTTATTAGTGGACGGCTGTGTTTTTTGCTGAAAAAAAGTGTTTTTTATTTGTACATTTGTTCTTAACTCTTGAAATATAATACGTCTACTTAAGAAGAAACAATTTTACAGTTTAAATTTTTTTAACGAAAAAATGGACATATTCAATGTTAAGTGTTCAAAGATATTGGGCACATATAAGTTTGTGTAGTAAGAGTGTTTGTTAGATATAAATGTATAAATTAATTAATTAAATGTTTGTGGAATAAATTTCTAGAGATGAGTTGTATCTAAGTTGTTATCAATTTTGGTTTAATTTTTTATTTTGAGGTTTAACTCTCATGCTTCAGTTTGCAAAAGTGCTTAATGATACCACTACATACTGTACATTTTTTAAATTGAAGTACTGAAATTTTAGCTTATCAATCCAACGACAAACAAACAATCCACATTTTAACCATTTCAGTCTAATTTATAGTAAAAATTAAAGGATAAATTTAAATGTGTAGAGATTAGTGACCGTTAATCGGTAGTTATTCAGATATCGTGAGATGCGGTCGGGTAAATTTAAAATGTATCGTAGAAGGCCTATCACACGTGCAATACTGTATATTCATAATGGTATGAGCAAAATTAGCGTGGTTATCACATTTATTCTTTCCTTTTTATTTGGTCATCTTATCAATTTTATTTTCTGGAAGTGATGAGAATGGTGAACTTCTAGAAACCTTGTTTTCCTTTTCTTTATTTTATGTATGTTTCTTTTAAAACAATGCATTCTGGGGCCATTTTTCCAGCTCCCCTCGTCATGGATTCAGGAATTTATTTACGATTTTTAAGTTCATGTTTTGAGGTATAAACTATGACTTTGGAGTTTATACTTTGGAGTCATATATGACTATGAATTTGGAATGTATACTTCAGAGTCATATATAAATTAATACTTTGGAGTTAATACTTTGGAGTTATATATAAACTACTACTTTAGAGTCATATATAAACTACTGCTTTGGAATGTGTTCTTTAGAGCCATATATAAACTACAATTTTTGAGTAAATAATTTGGAGTTTCTACTTTGGAATCATACATAAACTTTGCCTTTGGAATTTACACTTTGGAGTTTATACTTTGGAGTCATATATGACTATGACTTTGGAATGTATACTTCAGAGTCATATATAAATTAATACTTTGGAGTTTATACTTTGGATAAAAGAGTATGCAAGGCCTTCTGCACCTCGACCTGAGTCAATTTATTGTGCTCCCCTGTTTTTTGTAACTCACTGACCAGTTTCAGGTTGTTAATCCTAACCTTCATAGCCTTGCCAGCGGCTCCTTACTATAAGTCCTTGCTTGTGTTTGTTCCTAGTCGCAAGAGCCTGCACCTTCATAGACTTTTACAGAATCATAAAATGTGTTCTGCCGTCTCCTCCCCTTCCTGGCATTATCTGCACAGTGTTTCGTTTGTCTGTACTCCTATCTGGTGCATGTCCATTCTTAACTGGCTGTTCCCTGTCAGGAGTCCAACCAGAATTCTGGTTCAGTTGCGGTTGCCTTCCAGTATTTTCTTTGTGAGTTTTGCAGTTGGCCCTTCTATGGATCTCTTCGCATGCCTTGTGCCTGTGGTATTGTTCCACAAGGTCTTGTACTTATTAAGGATCCATTTTAAGATGTATCCTCTTTTGTGGCAAGATGCTAAGTCTCAGTAAGGTTCAGGACCCAGAGAGTCCATGATGGACCCCTCTTTGGCCAACATGACAACCTTTTCATCGCCTTCATGCCCCAAGTGCCCAGGGACCCCAGGGTCAGGTCATTAGTGTCACTAACTTCCGTGCAGTTCCAAAAATACTTTTTGCCTTCATCTTGCATGAAGCTAGGGCGTTTAGTGCTGCCTGACTGACAGAGAAGACGGCTATCTTCCAGGATATATTCCTAGCCTTTTTATTTCCCTACCATAGTGTTCAATCATGATTTCAGATTGGAAAATTAAAACTAGGTTTACTGCCACTTTAGTCTGTGGATTTATCCCGAAGACTCCAGATCCCCTGCCCTTGACGGTTTTGGAGATGTCAGTGTACCGGTAGGAGTTGGAATGTATACTTTATAGTCATATATAACTACTACTTTTGAGTAAATAATTTGGACTTTATACTTCAGAGTAGTATACAAACTACGACTTTGGAGTTTATACTTTGGAGTCTTATATAAACTACAACTTTGGAGTTCTATATAAACAACAACCTGGAGTTTATACTTTGGAGTACTTTATACTGGAGTTTATACTTATATAAATTACTACTTTGGAATATATACTTTAGAGTCATATATAAACTAATAATTTGGAGTTTATACTTTGGAGTCATAAATAAACTACAACTCTGGAGGTTATACATTGAAGTATATGCAGTTTATAGTATTTAAAGAGAAGAGAGCCATAAAGAGAAGAGCCAGAAAAATGACCCTGAAATGCATAGCTGTAACAGAAATCTATATAAAATAAAGGAAAATAAAAACAGGTTCTAGAAGTTCATCATTCTCAATATTTGCAGAAAAAAAGCATCGTTATTTTTAAATGTTTAAATTTTAAATAAATTTTCCAATGCCGCAAGACTCAATGAACCATCGGTATCATTAACCAGTTTTACAAACGGCAGAGGTATTTGATGTTGACTCAAATGGCTATTGGTAATGCTTTAACAGAAAATTAGATGTAGACTGTAAATTGTTAGGCCTTTCTCCCTGTGAACATACAAAGAGTATGTCACTGTCAGTTTTGGGCCTAACTTATGTGTAATTAGACTATGTGATATAAAATTAAATAATTGTAAAGAAACGGTGTGTTGCTTTTTCTTGCAAATTGTTATGAAAGTAAGATCAAATATTTTTAAACCTAATATCGACCATCAGCTAGGTTTTAATAATAGCTGTACATTATTAACAAAATATTCACTAGTTGTAATAACGTTACAGCTTCATATTTTCATTCTTTTATCTTATAAATACAAAATCTTTTGTATTCTTTATATAAGAATTCTTATTCACGCTTCCTTAATTAATTGTATAGGTTAATTTTGTTGATTGTTGTGACAGTGTACATAATATTTTTTAATAACATACTTTACTAAAAAATATATATATTGTAAAAAATAAAACAAAGCAAAAAAATGGTAAAATTTGAATGTTATGCAAAATGTATTGTGGATTTTTAACTCGGAAATATATCATGTCTAATATAAACTTTTCCTAGTTTTTCTTTTTTCCATCCACTTCTACGGTTTTATTAATTTTAAAAATCATCATTGTATATTATCACATTATGGACTAATTTTTATTATATGAACTAATGCTAATTTGGAACTACATGTCATTATTTTATTGTTTGTTGAATAAATTGAATATATTGTTAAATACTCGAGGGGTTTTTAACTCAAAAGATTAAATGAAAACAACAATCAGTACCGTTTAAATTCAATCCAATAAATTAACTTTTTTTTATTCCAATCCTCTCATCTTTACAAAAGACAACATCAAACTACAAATCTACAAAGTTATTATCAAATTATAAATTTATAATTATTGTTTTCACCTTTAATTCATAATTTATTTATTCTAAAACCTTTTTAAAATGTACCTACCACAAATAATTATAATTAATATATTTATTTACGCTTCATCTTTATTTGATATTTGTCAAACTGCAGTTAAGGAAATATTATTGCTAAGCCAACGTCTTCAAAATATTAGTGAAAGTGAAATGTGTGCAAATGGTGTTGATCTTTATGTTGATAATCAAAGTGCCATCAAGTTGATCAAAAACCCTGTGTTTCACAAGCGTACAAAGCACATTGATGTTTGTTATTTCATCCGTGGTTCCATGGTAACCATCATGTTGATAGATCAGTAATCATAAAATATGTGAAATCTGAAGAGCAGTTAGCTGACACTTTTACAAGAGCCCTTCCCAAATCAAGATTCGAGAAACTAAAGGAACAGCTAAACTTAAAATTATAAATGTGAAAACTGGGCGGCCAACTACTTATTGATCAATGTTGAATAACTTTTCAAATTGTAATAATAAAAAACTTATCCTTATTTTGTTGTTTATTTTCTATATGATCTTAATTTGTATCGAAATGTATTACGTGTTTAATTATGGAGGTTGTCATCCATTTGTTTTGATAATTAAAGTGACAACATAATTGGAGGGAGTGTTGAGTATTAAATTCTGTTGTCACAACATGATGCAATTGAATTGAAAAACTGCACACCATTGTGCGCTACCTCTCCTACTTTTCTTGGTTGTTCTGTTCATTGTCTATTTGGATGTGTTCCTGGTGTGTGTCACCTGTGGTTTGACGACTCTGTGTCTTTGTAATAAACATTTAAATTTAAATAAAAATTCTTATCAATGTAGAATAGGAATACAGGTAAAGAGTTAAAATTCAGCCTAATGTCCAGCGCTCCGGCTGTCTGCCCACTGCTCTCTTCATCTCAGCTCTAAAATTCGAAAAGCAACCTTAATTTCCACACCCGACTTAATCATAGTTACAAATAGAATTATCGATCCANAATACATGTTTGAACAATAAAATTATTTAATTGTTGGAAATGATACCACTTAATAAATACACGATCAATCATCGAATTCTAAGTGCCTCTGACACGTGTTGGTTTATCGATTATAGATACATAACCATGAGAAGCTAGCACATCAAAGTAATCCATTGATAAATTATTGGAAGTTAGCAAATTCATGTTCATACCTCCACATATAATGTGTTTAGCAAAATTGGATGAAGATCGAAATTGATTCATAAATGAAAGCTGAATTTATCCCGAAGGCTATGCAGAGGAAATTGTCATATTAGTGTCAGGGGAAAGTTTGACACAACATTAAAAGAGCTCACCCAAAGTGCAATAAACAAGGGAGGAACAACGGTGTTCACAATGCGGACTAACACCTCAATAACTACCCGACCTGTTTTCACCAAGAAAAGAAACATAGAAATACGTTTCCATAATGAAATGCTGCAGTTAAAAAACGAGGTTAAATACCTAGGATTAACCTTTGATGAGAAGTTAACTTGGAACCCTCAAATGCAGCATACCGTAGCAAAAAGTGAAATATCGCTTATGACTACCTTACCGACTAGAAGATCCTTAAACAAATCTTGGGGAATGTCCCATTGGTGATACGCGGCAATAATAAGACACAAAATAACCTATCGATCATTAATCTGGTGGACCAAAACTCAACAAAAATTAGCTAGTCAATCACTAGACAGCATACAGAGATTAGCAAACCTATGTATCACAGAGGCAATGGGAACAACCCCTACAAGTGTACTAGAAACTCTGCTTAACCTACCTCCACTCGAAACATTTATACAATGAGAGGCTAGGAAAATCTCATTGAAGGTCCAAAAACAATTCACTCACACAACCATAACTAATAAAATCGGACACCGATTCTTAGAAATGGGGACTGACTAATGATCCTTAAAACATTCTTTACAACATCCTATAAAGGTCAACAGACTGTAAATGAGAGGAACAACTCAGTAGAAGATGAGAAACAATGATATGTAATACGGATGGCTCAAAATAGACAAAGATTTTTTCTACAAGCCCAAAATATGAGCAATCGAACTTATTAGGCAATTACACTTTGGCCTTTAAAGCAGAAATACTTGCCAGGGCACAAAGGAATTTCGGGTAATGAAAAAGCAGATACACGGGCCAGAGGAGGATTTTCAACCGATCACTGGCATCGGAGAAAACATCTGCACAACATGCGAAGCAACGGCTCAATCGAGATTTAACGTAGCACACAGAAAAAAACCTAGGGAGTGAAATTGTAACAGCAACAGTCAATGACCTAACTACATCAGAGGAAGGTTTGAGTTGATTGTACCGAACTAGGAAGGTACAATATACCAGAAGGCCTGGTTTCATCATCTTCATCATCATCATCATCATGATATAAATTTAAAAATGCACTTCAAAATTTTAGAAAATGATTGTTTCACCTTACCTTCTTTATAAATCTCTCCTTTCTAATTTGTTCCGTTGTCGGCTTAAAGCGCAATGTAGTATTTAATTAGATTATAAACTGAATAGATGGGTATTCAGATTATTTGCACCTTTACCAGGTATCGTTGTTTTTTTTTGTCAACACACAAAATTAAGTTTCCATGGAGACCTTCAATAAAAATTACTTATTTATTAAAAGCTGCTGATCAGATTTCATATTTTTTCTTTGATAAGAAAACATCCACGGATGGTACAGGGAGGCAGGTAAGCTTCCTCACAAAGATAGATGGAAGCTTCACACAGTCGGAAGAAGAAACACTATCTAACTACTGATTGAAAATCATTTCCCAGGAGCAGAAATAATCCACAAAGAAATAAATACTTCTTGAATGTTCAAAACAAATAAAAACAACAAATGAAGAGTGGAAGGAGCCACAATTAGGAGTTTAGCTCATGTAAGGTGCCAGGTATAAACAGAATATACCCAACACTACTACAAAAAGGTCAAGAGATTCTCATGCCATACTTAGTAAAAATATTCATAGCCTGCCTAGCATGGAGCTAAGTACCGAAAAGATGACGAGTGATACATACCAAGTAGTGTACAGACCAAAACTAAGACAACCTAACAATTACAAGCCCAATTCATACAGACCTATGAGTTGTAGATCATTCATGTTGAAGAAATTAGAAAGACTGTTTGGTATAGGGCCACATTCATGAGACAGCACTGAAAAACAAACCTGTCAGAGAGCAACCATTCACACACCAACCATGGAGATCCATAGAGCCCATGATGACCTGTGTAAATACCAAGTTCATAAATGAAAAGGAGATAGCCCTAACATTTTTTAAGGATATAGAGGTAGCCTTTAACAGTGCAACAACAGCCTCTCTACATTTAGCAATTAAAAACCGAAAAGACATGCCAATGGGTGAAAGAAGGCCTAAGGAACAGGAAAATCACATCCAACTTGGGCGGAGTGACCAGCCGTGCAAAGACAACAAAGGGATGCCCAGGCGTGTCACCTCTACTGGGGACGACGCTGGTAGACGAACTCTTACAAATGTTGAAACAAGAAGGAGTCTATTGTCTAGGCTATGCAGGATGACCATGCCATAGTGGAAAGGGTGGGAACATCGTGATGGATCACAAACGAGCCTTCAAACTGGTGGACAGGTGGTGCAAAAGGGAGGAGCTATCTATTCACCCCCACAAAACCATAATGATTCTATTCACAAGGAAGAGGACAATAGGAAGCCTAAAACCTCCAAGTCTAAATGGTACCCCGATCAAATATCTAGACCAGGGAGGAGATACATGCAGATGCTTGAAGAAAAACTTAGCATCAAAATCAGATAGGCAACACAATGCACGTTCTCCAAATTAAGTGAAATTGCAAAAGCAACAGGGGAATGAGCCCAAAAGCCCTGGCAATTGCATGTAAGAGCCTAGGTGCAGCTTAGGCACAAAAGCTAGAAAGCTGGAGCAAAAGTATCCTAGCAGCACAAATGCCTACAGGACAACATTGATGCACACCCTTTAAGTAATTGGCTATGCCCAGCCGATTGACATAGCCCTCCAAAGCAAAGTAGCTATCAGAAAAATTAAAGTGGGACAATGGCCAAACCTACAAGGCGTAGAAGAGCATGAGCTAGAATGGCCAAGGAACATCCCAAAAAAAAAAAAAAACAGCATTCTAAGTTCATAAAAAATTAGATGGACACTGCATGGCAAAACAGATGGGAAAGCAGCACTAAAGGAAGATTGACTAATGAATACTTTCCAAACATCGAGGAGAGAGCACGAGTGAAGTGGGTGTCTCCGAATTTCTGGGCCACGCAAACCTTGACTGGTTGTGGCAACTTCTCAGCATACCTCTTTAAATTCAAAAGGTCCAACAGCCCTTTATGCCCCAAATGCGCCGCAAAATTCTCTCTTGTGGACTTTTTGAAAGGGCAAGAAAAGGCCTAAAACCCCTCTTCATCAACAGTTGGCCCCCAACTTTAAGCGAACTTGTTTGGGAACAAAACCGCTTCCAAGCACTCAAGACATTAAGCCTGAAAATTCTTGGCAATCAAATATGGAGCGCATATTTATTTATTTATTCATATAACTATATTTTTAATTTATTTAATTAATATGCTTTAATAGGCTCATTAGGTTAGTAAAGGCTGGTTTCCCCTTTCAAATTTGTAAACCTCCTGGTCAATAATTATCAAAGTCACCCAAAAAAAATAGAAATATATATAAATTATTATTAATTACATATAATTATAATATAATATTTTATAATATATATAAATTATTATAAATTATATATATTTTATATATATTTATTATTAATTTGTATGTGTTCTCTTTTTAAAATAAGAAGAATTTCTATCAATTTAACTCAGTTTTATTTTCAAAAAACACTATAGATCGACCATAACGCACAATTGGTCCGTATTGATGGTTTAGTATATATATAACGCCTTGAGAAATCGGGTAGTTTTGTTGTTTCGTCCATATTCTTTTTATTAACTGTTACATTTTGTGGTAATAGACAGTATAGGTAATTGATTTGAGTTTTAATGATTTATGAATTTGAAGATTGTGAAAACCAATAAAATTTATGTGTTAGCATTATCATAGTTATTTATACGAGTTTAAATAAAATATTAATAATGTTTACACAGTGAATCGAGAATTTAGGAAAACAAATTTTACCATTTGGTTATTTTACATATTTTAACTCATCTTTAACTTAGCAGACTTTTAATAGCAAATTCAATTCCAAAACAAAAGTTTTATTTTATAAGGCAAACAATTTTTTTTACAATGGCCTGGTTCATATAAAAAAAATTTGTTTGGACATTGGTGTTAATTTATTGATGAACTCCAGAAATTTTTTCTCTTTATAGCAATGAATGTATTTCAAATTGATTCCAATAACCCCTCCTCAGCTGACATTCTTGAAAAGTGTTAGCCAAAACATTATCAGGTGAAGAGGGGTTATTAGAATTAGCTCGAAATGCATTAATTTTAATAAAGACAAAAATACTGGAATTCTCAGTAAATTAAAAAAACAATGTTCATGGATGAATAGGATGAATATTAAAGAAAAGAAACCTAAAATTCAATAAATAACATTTTTGCTAGTTAAAACACTCTTTATGGAGAGTATGATGGATCGTTTATCTTTTAACACTTACGTATATCATATTAAAAAATCTTAGCATGTTAAATTTATAATAACAGTATGGAATCCAATATACTAATCCATCTATATAGAACAATATAGAATCCATCCTTGAATATGTATTATGATAATTGTAGGTTCTGATGATGAACAACAGCCCGAAATTTTCAATTAAAAATTAAAAAATTGAAACTGTCTTGGTACTCTCTTATTAAAAAAATGTATAAAAATATATTTTAAAAAATTGTATATTTTTGTTGGTGCGAAGAATATGTAATTTTGTGACTAGCTACCTACTAACACTGTCATTTGAAAACTTTTGGTTCATCTCCTATCACTATTAATCACTAGGGAGACCGCAGTAGTCGAGTGGTCAATATGAAAGACTCTCAGCTGTAGAACCTGTTGTCATGAGTTCGATTCCTACTGTCACCCTTGGCTCTTTTTTATGCAACCCTTCCCTCAAAAAAAAAATAATACACATCACATATATCAGAAATTATAAATGATAGGGTGAATGTGGAGTTCAATCCTTTTTAAAAAAGATGGTTCCTACTCGCATTAAGTTGTTTCGCAACAATCCAGATTTCGAGCCCTTTAGCTCATCGTCAGGTTGAAACCCTTCAACCTGACGATCATATATATCACGTTCCTTGGCCAATACGCAAAGCCCATTAAGAAAAACTTATGCTTCCAAGGGTTAACATCAGTAAGGTTTTATGTGTTTAAACAAAATGTAATTGAGCGCCACTGGTTTAAATTTGGACATTATCAGCTTAAAGATAGTTTTAATTTGCAAAACAAAACTAAAAACTGAAGAAAGGTAAAAGGACTAAAGAGACATAATACTGACCTGGTGCTATATTATTATACTCTAGAAATGTCAACAATTTTGTGTTTTTTGTTCAAGCAAAAACAGAACATTTTACATGACAAGACAGTTTATTTTATAAAGACAGTAATAATCCATTTTCCTTCAACATGACTTTTTTCAAAAATGGGTTACTTTTCCATCCATACTTTAAGCTTTTCTATGTTTTAGTTCATAGAGCTTAAATATTCTCTTTCTTTCTGTAATAAGCACATCAATTTTGTAGGGTTTACTGTGTCATCGGGGTTCCGAGCACTGCTTCCCATTTTAGGCTTGACTTACATCAGTATTAGAAGGGGGTTCATCTTTCTTTTTGGATTCATCAGGATTCTTTTCAGAATTTTCAGCATTTTTTTTCTCAGCCTGCTTCTTCTTTCTTGATTCTGCCCTTTTTTTCCTTTCCTCTTGTTTTCTTTTTCTTAATTCTTCTTCAAGTTCATCCATATCATTTGCCATTATTATAACTTTCAAGAAAAACATTAATTCCTCATTGACCTCAGGATCATCACGGCATAGCATTTTCTTTAAAAACAACGATGATTCTTTTTCTCGTTTTCTTTTCTTTTTCTTTTCTTTAATCTTCTTTCTGTCAGTTTTGCAATGATCGCATTGACACTTTGGTTTCACCTTCTTTTTATGCTCCCTTAAAAAGACATCAAAAACTCCTTCCTCTTGGCCATCGCCTTTTTTTTGATCTTCTTCACCTTCTTCTTCTGTACCGGGGATCTTGTTACTTTTTGGGCAGTAGCCAGGAAGACATTTCAGTTTACCACTGGCCCATGGCAATCTAAAACAAAATGTGAGGATTGGTTTCAAAAAAATATAATTAAAATTTTTATTCCTAATAATAATATTTAAAAATATACTAACGCACATCTTTTTCAACTACATTTAATTGAAATTGTAACAAACATAACTTTTTATAATGATTTAATTTCTTTTAACTTTCTAATATTTAAAATATTTCAATGTCTTATTAAAGAAATACTTAAACGGCCATAAATATTTTTTATGTGCTGAAATATATATTATATACTTTGATTACATTTTGATCTTCAAGATGCTTTATATATTATCGACAACCTTTAGCTGAAGACAGTTTGTTTGATATGTTCATTTTTGGAAAACTAATAACAACCAATTTTATTTTTACATGTGAAATTTTTATTTAAATTTGGTAAAAAACAGCATAAATGTACCAAAAAAAAGTAATGCTATTACACAAATGGAAATCATTATTACATAGTCAAAGGTTGTTTTAAAGAAACATCATAGGATTATCAAATCATTTTATGGCATATTGACTTTGCTTAAAATAGTTCATTTAAATTTATTTATTTTCTTATTATGTAGTATCAGTGTCAGCCTAATGTATGTAAATATGTCAGTGAATTGCAGTGTTATCACTGAAATAAAAATTATTCAAATGCATTAAATTTATTTGAAATTTTTATGAGCCTCTATTAAATTGCCATTATTTTCATGAATTAATTTTTAAATTATTACATTTGTTTTATATGCCAATCGCTGTTGTTCTTGCCAGCCAGAACTTTTTCTATAGGCACCTTGGTAATTTCTTTAACTTCTATTAGAATGTAGCAAATAATCACTGAGAAGACTGTGGGCCACATCATTGTTTTTTACTTTGAGGTTTTAGATTCTACTTTTTCATTATATATTTTTTGCTTGCTTTCAATTATTATTTTTTATCTTTGGATTTCCTCTTCTCTTTTTTAATTTGTTCAGTTGGTTTAGTTGGTTCACTTGGTGTAGTTGGTTCACTTGGTTTAGTTGGTTCACTTGGTTTAGTTGTTTCAATTGGTTTAGATGGTTCTCTCGCTTTAGATGGTTCTCTTGATTTAGTTGGCTCACTTAGTTTAGATGGTTCTCTCGCTTTAGATGGTTCTCTCGCTTTAGATGGTTCTCTTGATTTAGTTGGTTCACTTGGTTTAGATGGTTCTCTTGATTTAGATGGTTCACTCGATTTAATTGGCTCAGGTTCATCTGTTTTCTCATTTTCATTGTCTCCTCTCTCTCCATCCATTGAATCATCTTCCTCTTTTCTAGGTTCCAGACCGTTTCTTTCGCGGAAACGAACATCGGCGAGATCATCTCCAGCCGTCATCACACATCTCCAGAAAAACTCTATTTCAGAAAGTAAAATGTTGTCTTCTACATCTATCTTTTTCTTCTTCTTTTTTTTCGCCATCTTTTCTTTTGCCATCTTTTCTTTCTTTTTTAATTCTTTGGCTTTTTCTTTTGCCTCCCTTTCTTTCCATTGCTTTCTATTGAGGCAATAACCAGGAAGACATTTTAGTTTTGCAGAGGCCCAAGGAAGCCTAAAAATTTAACATTCTTTTTGGTTATTTGGCAAATTGTGTTGTTTTTAAAAACTAATTTTTTAATTTAATGAAAGCTGAATTAATACAAAGAAAATGTTTTCAGATTTTACTCCCACTTTAATTACATTTAAATTCTTCTTTTTTCAATTTATGATTTTACAGTTCTAACAATATCAAATTCAGATAAGACAAATCAAGATTTATTTTTAATTGTGTCACTCTCATTTCTTTTTCATAATAAATCAATTATTCATTACAATTGATATTAATATATTTACAATTGCTTCTAGAATATTTATTAATATAAATCTGATCTAGAAAAATATACAAATTAGTTATTTACATTATTTTGTATTGTCAAGGTGTTATTTTCTACTGGTTAGTTAATTTACTCCAATTTATTTTTAAATTTATTGAAATATTATATATTTCATATCATTAATGAATTAATTTCTGGTTTTTCTAAATGTAAAATAAGTTAACTCTATTTTTTTTTTTTTTAACTTATTGAGACATTAATATTAAAATTGCTATTTTTAGCTAGTTAAAAATGATTTGAAAATGCCATATGGTTGTAACATAAAAATATTATTGTATAGGTAATACAAAACTAATAGTTGAACTCTTATTTAATTTAGTATATCATTTTCAAACTAAGAAAACCCTTTTGTATTGTTGTCCATTTAACAAAAACAAAAAAAATTAAATTGTATCTCAGATTTTTTTATTCATGGTACTTTATGGGCAAAAGGGGCAGTGAAGCTTTTGTTTATTATGTGGTTATTAGTGTAAAACAAGTATCAGCATATCAGCCAGATGATGCTTTGGCATTTAGTAATTAGCTGTGGCAATTTCCATTTGAGTGAGATCATTGACTTGTTTCATCAAAGACACTCACTTCTTGGGAGTGTGGGTTAATCGTAATCGATCTATCAGCCTTGTTTCATTTCATCACTTTGGCATCTTCAGCCGAGGATCTGCACAAAAAGATTTTTCCAAGACTAAATCAAGCATGGAATTTTTTTTACGAGACAGGAAATAATTGACAAAATAATAAAGCCCAATCACTGAAGATGGCAAAATTTTCAACCATCTGATAGACAAAACTAGCAAGCAAACTAGGCAGGTGGTATCCGAAAAATAAAACCAGTTGAAAACTAAGGTTTGTCATCTTGTAGATCTCATCAAAACATCTTTGTGATTTCTTAAAAAGAAACATATGGGAGTACAGCCCGTTGTAATTTATCATTGAACATGTATTTATGTTTTGTTATCTATAAATTTAAGATTCATTCTACATTATTAGCTTTATATAAGACAATAATTAAAAATCTCCACCTAACTTTTGGTTTGTATTAAGTTACTAAAGTTTGCTGTCTTTTTATTTCTCCTTTTCATGAAAATATAATGAAAAAGATCATTTAAAGATAATTTTAATGTTATAATTTTAACAATCAACAGGTAAAAGCCTCTAGGATTGTAATAGAATATATTACTTATAATCAATTAAACATTGCAAACAACTAGCTCTTTAACTCAGAAAAAATTAAACATAATGAAGACCACTTTTAAACAAATCTACCTTTTAAAGTTTGAATTTGTAAAAGTATTTACCCTTTCGGATAATAAGATGGATCTGAAGGTTCATTGCAGAAACTGTGCGGACAAGGTAATTTTATTTTTTCTGCTTTACTTGCCATTTTTCCTTTTTTTCCTCCTTCAGCATCGGTAGCAGGCTAGAAAAATATTAATTTTGGTTTAGAAACAGCAACAGTTAATAAAAATAGTAAAGAATATATGTTTCTCCTTACATCATTTTTTTTCTGCCGCGAGGGCATTTCCTTTTGTGGCATTAAACTTTTGCTCTTATACAATCATCAACCTAACATAAAATAAATCTTAATTTAAAGTTTGTTTATTGTTCGAGTAATACAGGAAAATACGATTATAGAGCGATCGCTGACAGACTCACAAGTGAATATATTGCAAATTCTTTACTATCCTTTACACTACATTGGTAATACAACTTACCTACACGATTGTCTTTGTGGCTTTTCTGTCCGGCCATGCTATTTATGAATTTTTAATTTAAACTTGCATACATTTTTCCCATGAACTTGCACCTTGCATTCTTGTATCACTTACATGTGTAATCTACATATTTATCAATTAAACAACTGGTTCACAACTGTTAAAATTAAGAAAAACATGAAACAGACTAAAAGGTATTTTTTTACATTTAAAAAATATAAGTTTCAAATTTATTGAGGGTACTTTATATAATCCCTTTGCGTGCATAGAAAATATATGTCCGTGCTACATCTTTGATTTGGAATTTTTTTGAAAAGTATGATAACTTTAAATCATTGTCCGTTACCGATGCAATAACCATAAAAAATAAATGTTTATAGACAATTTGGGTAAAATAATGTATAAATAATAGAATATAAAAAATTGCTGTGGAGAGAAATTGTTTATTTAATTTAAAGTAGTATTTTATTATTTTTCATTGTTTGCTTCGCTGCTATTAGAGTCAGACCAACTTATGTCACTTGAATTTTTTAACTGCTGTACAATCTCACCCACTCTTTTCTTCAAGTCAATATCATAATCACCAGCTAAAGATGCCATTTGAGAAAGAAAAACAAGCTCCTTTTGTGTAGCACTGTCTTCATCCATTAATGTTTTTATGAATTTTGCCTTCTTTTTCTTTTTCACTTTAGCACCGATATCACTTTTTTTGCGTGCTATGTTGCAACCATTTTCATCATATTTACAATAACCAGGCAAACATTTTAGTTTACCTGAGGCCCAAGGCAGTCTAAAAAGTGTCAAAAAGAAAAATATGACTAGTTACACTTTAGTTAAAATCCTTAAATCTTTTATTAAAATAGTGTTTAATTTACCTTTATAATCATATTTTTATAAAATATATATAATTCAAATGTGTTTAATAGAAAACATACCCAATTGGATAACTTGAAGGATTTGAATATTTATAACAGTAGCTATGAGTTCTACAGGCTTTTACTTTATTTTCCTCTTCTTCACCCTCATCTGTAATTGTTTGTTGGCTGTTTGAATTTTTCTTATCCATGAGTCTGCTGGCAGATGAAGAAAAAAGTTGTTTAAGCAATCATATACATTTATTGGTTGGGGTCATATAACACTACTATATTCAAAATGATAATATAATAACAAATTTTTTTTTTTAATTGTACTTCATTTTTTGGTATGCCTGTTTTATTCGACTACATACAGGTATCTTTACCTAGTTTTTCTTTTGTATTTTAATAAAATATTGAATATTTCAGAAATAATAAAAGTTTCTGTTTAACTTTTTTTTTATAAGCAACAAATTGAGGGACTGTGATGGCTGAGTAGTTAAGCCGATTCGTATTTGCCTCCTAGTAGTCCTGTATTTGGCATAGCCCATGTATGTTTTAATTATAATATTAAAAATGTAAAGTTGTTTGTCCTTGTCCATGGCGCCCACGAGTAGTTAACCCCTCCTTTATAACAGGAATTACCTTTTTTTTAAGCAGCGAATTTATCACACAATTTTATAACTAAAAATATTCGTTTATACAAACTCCTTCAAATAGCTGAACAAATGCATGTACTTTAAATTGTGAAATATTGCATTGAAGTCTGTGAGTGGCGAACCTGTAGTTTTATCATCCTGGTCTGCATACTCTCACTGGTTTTATCTATCATACGTTTCTATATTACCAACTTCAGCGGTACAAAAAGCCTGCTAGACAAAAACAGCTAGAGTGCCAAAGTATTAGATTGTGAAATTATTCAGTTTTGTTTGTACCCCTCACATGGGCAGGCGTTAACTGATCCTTTTTAGCTTTTATCAAAATAAAAAAATATTTGGATCAAGAAACAGATGACCAACAAATATTACAACAGTATAAAATGTGTATTACATTCATTTGGAGCTCTAAAGATCCCTTACCTCATCCTCTATTTTGTCAATTTCCCCCAGCAATTTGTCATTTTTTTATTTTTCTAAATAACACATATCATCTATTCCCATGTGGAAACAAGAATAATATGGAAATTATTTAATAAACATGTGAATTTTTTAAGGCTAATAATATTTACCGATTAATCTGATTATCAGCATCCAAGTTTTTAAACAAAGATACGCATACATACACACTTATAAAAATAATGTGGGTAAAAAGTGCATCGGGGGCCATAACGGTTTAGGTGTTGACACGGCGCTCATCACTGTAAGGCAAAGGTCCAGAGTCCCGGGTTCAAATGCAGCAGCCCTGCATTTGAACCCGACATACAAATGGGCTTCTTTTCAAAAACATCGGCACCCTGAGGGTTCATATAGTTGAAGTTGAGGGGTAGTTGAAATATCCTCATTTAGAAAAAAAAATATGGAAAAGGGATACAATTTATTTGATTTATTTTTATAAAAAACAAATTAAAAAATGGTGAAACAGTTTAAAATAATTTATTTTTACTTACAATATAAAATAGATTAAACTATTTTCTTCCTTAAGCAATTGTCAGAAGTTAGGTGATGAACATTACAACGCAAAAAAAATTCCTATAACAGTAGTGCCTAGAATTCATATTATGAAAATGTTCATTTACAAATTAAAATATAAATGATAGTTGAAACAAAAATGTCACAACGCTACTTAGTAATAATTATGTTTCACTTTAGGTGAACGATAATTTATGGTGTATTGAGCATTTTATTTTTATTAAAATTTATCACAAAAATGAAAGGCAGTTTTGTATATTGTTTTTTTACAACAAAAAAGTAGTTTTTAAATGTTTACTTATAAAAACAATTCCCTACAAAAAAAAGGATAATAATTTACAATAGATAAAAAAACTATTTATAAGGGCAATTGGCACTTGAAAAGTTGTTAAACAAATGTGCATTGCATTGAATGTATTGTTTTACGGCATTTCAAAGCAATAAGCATACAATAATAATAACAATAATAATAATAAAAAAATTGAAACGTTAGCAGACTATGTTGCTTTAAAATAATTGCTATAAATCACAACAAATAGGTTGTACAAAACCATTGCACTACCATCATAGGACACAATTTATGACTGATTTCACTAGTTAACAATGTTTTTTAAACACAAGGAAAAATAAAAGAATAAAAATTTATTATAAAACAAATACTTGAATCAGTGTCAATCTAATTGACTTATATATTATTGATAATTCTGCATCTTTCCTTTTATAACAGTTTTTATCCATATATATATACACATAAAAATATAAAAGCCTTCTCATATTTATTCAATTATATTGTTACAAGAAAAAAATTTAAATAACAATGTTAGTCATGAATAACATATTCTATTCAGATACAACCAAAATAATGTTTATATTTTATAAATGTTTTTCCAACTAGGTTAATAAAGCACTTTTTTGGGGGATGTATATAACATTTGGACGGTATAAGATACAGAATATGTCATGGGTCATAATTCTAAAGGTCGAAAATATTGCCGACACCACATCGCAGCCAGTGTTAACGGTTGATCACTCCTCAAATACAAATTGGGATCTTTCTCTATAACTTTCTCATAAGCAGCCTTATAATCTTTATCAAAATAAACTAGAAAAAAAGTATTAGTGATGGGTGTTCTCACAAGCAATATATTTATATTACCTTGGTCAATGTTTTCTTTTCCTATAGCAGTGATACCTAAAAATAATATTTCCCTATATAAAGAATGACCTCGGCCTTTTAATTTCTTTCTTTCCACAGCCAGAAACTCAAGAGGTTTAATAATATTGCAGTATTGCAACCAATGAAGTATACTGAAACATTAACAAAAATTATTTAGTAGTTTTGGGATAAAAAGTTATTTATTATTTGCACAATAAGATTAAAAGTTAACACATTCATTATGGGAATCGTTGTGGAACAATGCAATAAACCTTTCCTCATGTAAAAACGTTTCAGAACATTGAACATTCAAGGCTTGTTGTGGGGGGGGAGTATTTTTTTTAAATTGACTCTCTTTCACAGGAGTTTAGCATTTCTTTGTCAATGTTACTGTGAAGACTGTTTTTTAATGATTATTCAGAAATCGTGAGATGCGGTCTGTAGGTTTCAGAAAAACATTTTCTTTATCGTGCCAACGTTTCGATCTTTATTGAGATCATCTTCAGGACCTGGGATTTATAAACATTGTTTAAANAGAAAAACATTTTCTTTATCGTGCCAACGTTTCGATCTTTATTGAGATCATCTTCAGGACCTGGGATTTACAAACATTGTTTAAATTTAACAAATACATGTAGGATGTGGAAAAAAGTGAATTTATACAATGCAAAAAATTTATTTTTTATATTCAATCAGAGTATTTCTACTCACTCAGTGTTTGTTTTCTGCGTAAGTGTGCCATTATTGCGTGTCGTGTTGAGAGTGCCAGTGAGATATTGCTGTATTATGTTGGATTTTGAAAGGGTGGGGAAGGAAGTCGGTATAGAAAGACGTTTTTGTATAAGGAGTCGGACCAGACCGCATCTCACGATTTCTGAATAATCATCGACTAACGGTCACTAATCACCACACATTTCTACCGTTTTTTAATTTGACCTGTTGGAAATTTTTTCCCGATAATAATTTTTCTTGATGGTACATCATTTGGTTTTTTTTTTAAATTCTTCATTTAATGTATAATTGAGAAAAGCACGTAAGAGGAATTTCTTTGTTCGTCTTTTTTGACTTATTGCTCCCTTGTGATTTTATGTTTGGTAAATTTTTTTATTAATCGTAAACTGTTAAGTATTCTGTAAATAATTTTTAATAAAATATGGAAAAAATTACTGAATTTGTAAATAGATGTAATTTTGTTTTTAGCAGACCTTCAGAATACATACTACCTCCTCACTATATCTTTTAAATTTATTAAGGGTCAGTAAGTGGAAATGTACAATTGTCAATTTTTTCATAACATATGGGCGGGCTACAGTAAAATATACTGCTGGTTTACCTAATCTGACCTTCTCTATATACGGTCAGTCTTTAAATACTGTATAAAATTGTTCCATTTCTGAAGTGACTTTACAAATCCATGCCATAAAGAATGTGTTAGGACTTAGTACACCTTATCCAATATTGGTATAGTGCACAATAAGACTTTACCTTTGTAAATCTTTGGCTGAAACCCTGGTCTGATCTGTTACCAATGCGCTGACAAGAGAACTATGGTCATCATTGACATTCCATGATAAATACATCGGCGCGCCAACCTAAAATAAAAAAATCTTTTAAAAATAAAGCAAATGGTATAATAATTGAATGGATTTCATCATTCAAAATTTAAAAAATACCATAAATTTATATCTAACCTCATCATTTAATCTATGATTATGCCACATCGTAGAAATAAGTACATTAGAGGAGTTGGCATTTTCCCACGATGGATGTGGATCTGAAATTGTAGCGTTGCTTCCTAAAGCTAAACCCGGAAAATGAGAATCCATATTTATCCTAGTGAACATCCAAACCTAAAACATTCATTGTTATTAAAATAAAAAACAAAAAAGATAGTAACAAAAATATCTCAATAATAAAAACAAGAACAGACCATGTTCCAATAAATAATGGGGTGCTCATCGACAAACTTTGGTTGAATGAGGGCTGCGTCACCCTCAGCAGCTAAAATCGATTCAAATTCTTTTCGGAGGACTAGTGGATTAAGGTAAGGCACTGTTATTGGATCACAAGTCTTTGGTTGGACACCATCGTTCACAAAGCCACTGTCAGAGACTAACGAAGTCTGGCTGGTCCCAAGAGAAATTGAAGAGATCTTCCTTTCTTTGACTAATGTTGGCATTGGTGAATTTCTATAATCGACGACAGAAACTGACAACAATGGTACTGTTGCCTTATCACAGAATTGACATCTAAAAAAAATTACATTGTTTAAATTGTTAAAAAAATTTAAATGGTAGTATATGACAATACGAACTTAGTATTCAAATTGGAATCTTCAGGTATCCAGCCTGCCATGATTTCTTCGTCGTATAAGACAGTAGAACAATTGTGGCACTTTGAACAAGTTGTCATTGTTATCTGTAAAGCAACTGGAATACTAGGATCTCTTTGGAATTTAGGATATAGACATTGCCGATTAGCCCACTTGTCAATTACTTCAAAAACTGCAAAGAAAAACGAGCGATTTTTAATTTAATTCTTTTATTTTCTTGGTAGTTTTTATACGAACCTGATGACTCATTACCAAGATTAACAGAACTGCCTTTTCTGCTACCTTCTGTGAGCCATTCGGTGAAGTTGTTACCACTCAACTGACCACGATTCTGAGGCGAATCCATAGATATTTTTCTTCGGCTCGCTGAGTATTCTTCTCCATACTCACTCTCATCTTCTAAAAGACAAGCATCCCTTTCCAGCGTCCCCCAGCTTTTTGAAAATAAAAACATGCTGCATTGTTTTATGCATTCTCATTTTTAAAGATTAAAACCGAGCAATAAAAACATACTGATTTGCAGATTTGACAGGAGTCGTATTCGCTGAAATAGCACCTTTAATTTCATCGATTTTCTTTGCCACAGAAGTGGCCGCTGATTTAAGGCTGCTAAGTCCACCCATAATTAGCTCATTGGATTTTTTTGATGTTAAACTTGGACTAAAACAGTGCATACATAAATTTTAAATAAATGTCAAGTTTTTATCCTCACAAGTTCAAACTTATGATAAAATAAAATGCATTAAAAATACAAAGAACAAATTGAATTTATGAAAAAATTCTAAATCTAGGACATTTTTAAAAAATACTTGTTATGCTACAAATCATTCCACTTCTAAAAAGGACTAAACGTGAACAGTGAAATTATTACATTCCAAAAAAGGTTTAAGCAGCAACACAATTGATTTTTTTCATATTCCGCCCCTGGTTTGTTTGGCTCATTTCCGCTATTTTTGATAAGTTTTTGAGAATAAATAGTTCATGGGATTAACCAGAACTCAATTAAATTGACAAGTCATAGAAAAAGAACATTATGAAGTTAATTGATGGAATAAAAAAAAAATCATTAGCAAAGATTTTAATTTTTATAACTTTTTCAAAGGATTTCATTAAAAATTGGTCAACAAATTATTTAATAAATTTATTATATGCATGTGATTATTTTATCATTGGTTATTTATTTTAATACATTCATATAAACAGTCTTCATTTTTTAATGTATAGAAAATAATTTATGATTTTCTTTTTTAATAATATACATTCAAAAAAATTAGTAGTAAAGAAAGAAAACAAAAATCAGTGCAGTGTATGGCGAAGCTGCTGTTGGTGAGCAGATTTGCTGAAGTCGTTTTCTTATCAGATTGACTTAATGTTAAATAAAACCCCAATGTCAAGTGGCAAGATATAAATAAATAAAAAATGAATTAAGTTAAATTAAACAAGTGTTCATATTTACAGAATTTGTTTCCCGTTATGTCTTGAAATTTTATTCATTGATATTATTTTATATTATGTTGAATTAATTTGTAAACTTTTATTAATTATTCTATTTAAAGGTGTTTTATTTTAAACATGGAAGTTTCAAGTTTGTTTTCTAATATTCAATATTATTATTATTTTTTTATTTTAGTTTTTTTTTGGGTTTCTTTTAATAAAAATTACTTTGATGTATTTCTGGTAATGTGTCATTACGGGAGAAAATATAGTCGCTAAAACATTAGGTCTGCAAATTTCGTAAGAATATTCTCCAATCGCAAAGTGTGCGAAGGTGGTTCGAATAATTTCCAAGTGGGCAAAGTTCAAGGCAAACGCCAGAACAGTGGGGCTAATGAGGCCAATCATCAACGTCAAACAAACTAGGTTTGTCACAGCGTGAATAATCATTTACACAAGAGAGAGAGAAACGAGGATGGTAATAAAACGTTTTCTTCAAAATAGAAGAGATGAACATTTCATGAAAATAATGGTTACATGTGTCAAAAATGTGGTTTACTTGGGCAATCTTAATACATCAGGATCTCAAAGGTCAAAGATAAAGATAATGTGAACAAAAAGATCTTTTGAATTATTATATTCAAATCAAATTATATAGGGTGTGTGAAAAAGGTTTTTTTTTTTTTTTTTTTTCAAATTTTGACTTTCACCTTTATAAATGTGATTTATTTCCTTCTAGTCCTGTTAGCTCAACAGTAGTAGTAGCCCTATTGAAAGAGATTATTAAAAAAGGAGTAATTGATCACATAAGTTGATCTAGAATAAACAGCGTACAACATGGAAGCTGATAAAATTCATTTGTGGCAGTCCTTCCTATAATTGGGCATAGAGCGGCAGGTGCCTGTTGAAATTTATGTGGAATTTGGGGTGATAACGTAATAATTAACACATGTGTTAACAGTTGTTCTGGTGTTTTCATAATGAAGAGACAAATCAAAAACCAACATCATAGTGGAAGGTCTAACAAGTTTAAAGCCACAATTTATTTGTGACATTGGAGTATGAGAATAATTAACTGTAGCAGAGCTAGTAAAAATAATTCAGTGACATCACTTGTTCAATTCCATACCTGAATAAGAATAAATTGGAAGGGCTTATTTACTATTTCGTCACTGGGGATAAGAAGTGGGCCGCCTTCGAAGTCAAGAGTAGGATAGACTCTAATGTCTGGTGTGTTATTTGAGGAATAATTTATTGGGAGCTATTATAAACCACATCTTTAGATCAGAGATATATTGCACCCAACTAGCCAGTCTTGGGAAGGAAAAATATCCAGCCCTGGTGAATCGACCATGACCTCACTCAGAGTAGAAACACTTATGTTAGGATGATTAAGTTGCCCCATCCTCTATTCTCTCCAGACCTTTGCCCATCTAATTTTTACTTCTGCTCCCTAGACAATCATTTAAAAGGTACGGAATTTTTGAATGAAAACTCCCTGAAAATCAGACTTAAAGATTTCTCATCTAAGTCAATCAAATAAGGGCATCGGTGGCCACAACGATTTAGGCATTGATACGGCGCTCATTACTGTAAGGTAAAGGTCCCGGGTTCGAATCCAGCGGCCCTGCATTCGAATCCGACATTCAATCAAACTATTACAAAAAGGGGATGCTACCAGAATGTTGTCAGTATGTTATAGAAAATGAAGGAAATTATGTTTTGGATTAAAAAAAAATAAATGTATATTTTTAAAGTTTCATTTTTTCCCTGAAAATCTGAAAAACTTTGCACACACCCAATCAGCTGTAAGTTTGTTCCATAAGGTTCTGTCAACTTTGAACTCTATTTGAAACTACAATAACCTTATGTACGAGGTTTTGAAAAAGTAACATGCTCTGGTGAGTGGAGTGTTTTTTTTTTTTTGTTTTTTTTAATAAACTTGGATGCAATACAAGGCATAAACTATCGATGAGTGGAACTGCTTCTACCAAATTCACCCATCCTGCCCTTGATTTTTCAGGCTACATTTGAGGAAGGGCCCACCTTCCAAGGGAAAATTTAAAACTTTACAAAACTGATCAGCAATGTAGGGCTGTATTTCCATGATTGAAAATGAAGATAAATTTAATAGTTTTTATTATTTTTTACTTAACTATGGTGATTGTTTTTCACTTACCCTTATTTTGCTAAATAAAGTGCTATTATTTAAAAAATAAAGTTTAAAAATGCGGCATTTTAATAAGAAAAAAAGTTTTCTCAAAAGTAACTAAAATTTAATACATAGAGGTAGGGGATAATAAATGCAGCATGCTATTAATGCGATAAAAATGGTTGGATATGACTATAATTGGATTCATGCCATTACCCTTGAAATAATAAACACATTAAACTTAAAAACATTTTCACTTGTTAAATCAACTGTCACACATATAATATTAAAAATGATCGATACTCAAGATTTTCCAAATACAAAATAACCAACAGTTTTATTAAATTCAAATTTCATATCTTGCAACTATGATTAAGAACAAATATATAAAACTGTAAATAAATGTGATTCTACCTGAGACTTGTTATAGCATTCTCAATCATCTGAGTATTGATCCTATCTGCAGCTTTGCGAAGACTAAATCGTGATGGTGAATAACGGCTGTGGATCATAACACACACACTATCAAGCACTACTTTTTCATGATTGAAAATTTAAAATAAAATAAAATAAATTAAAACTGGAAAATAAAAGTGTAATTTAATAGAGTGCAAGAAAAACAGTTTTTTTAATAAAATTGTTAGAAAAGTGAATTCAAACAAGAATTCTTAATGAGATTTGAAATTACATTTTAGTAATTAGAATAACATAGCATTCATTCTTGACGATAAAAATTAAAATTATTACAAAACTTAAGTTTGTAACAGCAAGGAAGCTACATAAAAACAACTAGATATAATTACAAACCCATTGTGTAATTAATATTGAGGCATGCATGCTAAAACAAACTCACGTGAATGGTAGCTTGAAACTTCCAATTGAGGGTTGCTGGTTTGGATTTTCGCCCATCGAATTATTAATAGGCATTGTAGAAGATCGGTGCATCGACTTGTTTCTGACACCTGTTTCATACTCCTCGTCTGATTCCTCATTGGTGAATGTCGCACTTCTCACGACCGAATTGTAATCCCCTAGTAGTCTTCTTTCAAATAATAAAGGAGCACCTGTGTGATCTAACTCAATTTCTGACGGAACCCTCGAGACAGTCTTCTTCTCTTCTTCTTCTTCTTCCTCCTGTTCAGAACCCTCATTAAGGAGTGCTCCTAAAGGATCGTTTTCAGTTACAGGTGTCCTAGATGGACTCTTGATCGGTGATTTGCTGTCACTGCATTGATTTTCATTGAGTTCAGATACTATATTACTGGTTGAACTATGTCTTTCAGGTTTGTACTTATTATTCATTCCAAAAGAGTTATTTAATTTATTCCTCTTTGGTGTACTTATATTGTATATATCTTCATAACTACCTCCAGCACCACTACCTAAAAATAACAATAAATAAAATTAACTTACTTGGAATATATATTTTTTTTTATTAGATGCAGTTTTAGCAGCTTGATTGTTTTAAAGACATTACTCTGCTTATTCTTGTTGAAAAAGTAAGATAGAATATTAGACTGTAAAATTTTTAATGCAGGTCAATAGTTTGTAAGCAATTTTTTACTTTTTTTTTTTTTTAAATGCTAGGCTGTAAATATGACGGACACACCAATATATACAAAAAGTTTCCATGCAAACAGAGCTCATCAGGTTAGGGTCTTCATAAATTTTTGCCTCAACTGGATGGGCTTTTGTGCCCCTAAACTTGAGAATCATTGACATTGGGACAGGGGGAAGCTCCCAGGAATGTTGGGCGTGGTACAGACAAGTACCAAGAAGGACATTGATTGTCTGACCGAAAGAATTTGCTTTTCCTTCCTTCCACCCTTGTTTTGAGACAAATATAAAAAGGAATACCAAATCAACTGAATACAAAGATCCCAAGACCAGGGAGAGTCAAAACCTGAGGAAAGGGCAGAGACTAGTGGAAACAAAACCAAGTAGAGTTGACAAGGAAAGACCTGGAATCCAAGAGGGTGAAAGGTGTGGACAAGTGACATCTGTGATGATAAAGCTCACCCCTAGAGTAAGAGTTGTGGCTGACATATCTATTTGATTAATATAATTATTGAAACAATCCAGACGTTTCACAATACGATAATATCCAACGCAACGCCACGTGACACGATGCATTGTCTCGTTTTGGTAGGTTGTGCACATCTGTTCGACGTAAAGCGCACCCCACGTACAGTCATACAGCGTGTATCACAATTGCAACACCTCTTTTGTTCTTAATACATTATTTTGAGAAAAACCATGTAATAAGTTGTTAGTTACATTTTATGAGCACAACCATGTAATAAATTGTTAGTTAAATTTAATTGTTTTAAATAAAGTTATTCCAGTGTTTTGTTAAACTTTCTGCCTAATCATCATAATTAAATAATTTTATAAAAACTCATGAATTTTTGATCTCATTTAATTTGGTTTACATTAAAATAATCATGTTATAATTAATATAACAACAAAATTCGTATACATAGTTTCAAACAAACTACAAAAAATATGAATGTCCAGTTCTGATGCTACTTGACAAAAATGGCGTAATTTTATGAGCAAAAACATGTAATAAATTGTTAGTTTAATTTTATGAACAAACCTGTGTAATAAATTGATAGTTAAATTTTACGAGCAAAACTGTGAAATAAATTGTTAGTTAAATTTTATGAACAAAACTGTGTAACAAATTTTAGTTAAATTTTATGAGGAAAACCATGTAATAAATTGTTATTTAAATTTTATGAGCAAAACCATGTAATAAATTGTTATTTAAATTTTAAGAACAAAACCATGTAATAAATTGTTATTTAAATTTTATGAGCAAAACCATGTAATAAATTGTTATTTAAATTTACCATGTAATAAATTGTTATTTAAATTTTATGAGCAAAACCATGTAATAAATTGTTATTTAAATTTTAAGAACAAAACCATGTAATAAATTGTTAGTTTAATTTTATGAACAAACCTGTGTAATAAATTGGTAGTTAAATTTTATGAACAAAACTATGAAATAAATTGTTAGTTAAATTTTGTGAATAAAACTGTTACAAATTTTAGTTAAATTTTATGAGGAAAACCATGTACTAAATTGTTATTTAAATTTTAAGAACAAAACCATGTAATTAATTGTTAGTTAAATTTTATGAGCAAAACTATGAAATAAATTGTTGTTAAATTTTGTGAGCAGAACTATGTAATAAATTGTTTTTTAAATTTTGTGAGCAAAACTATGTAATAAATTGTAAGTTAAATTTTGTGAGAAAAACCATGTAATAAATTGTTATTTAAATTTTATGAGCAAAACTGTAAAATAAATTGTAAGTTAAATTTTGTGAGCAAAACTATGTAATAAATTTTAGTTAAATTTTATGAGCAAAACTATGAAATAAATTGTTAGTTAAATTTTATGAGCAAAACTGTAAAATAAATTGTAAGTTAAATTTTGTGAGCAAAACTATGTAATAAATTGTTTTTTAAATTTTATGAGCAAAACCATGTAATAAATTGTTGTTAAATTCATTCTATCAATAAATGGTATTACGGTGTATTGATAAATTTCCTGCCAAACTATTAGATTTTTTTTTTAAATAAACACTAATGTATTTTTGATCTCGCTTAATTGGGTTTATATTAAAATAAGTATGTAATTAATGTAACGACAATTATATATATAATTGAAAATAAAAATGGGTTTTGTCTTCGACTGTACTCGATGCTACTTGACGAAAATCTGGGGGTAGCGAGTAGGGTAGTGTTGCGTGGCATCAGGCAGATGTGCATGGGAAATTGGACATTGGATTTGCATCGGGTGGCTTCGGTCACATCCACTTAAATGCTTAAGAATCTTATATAAATCTGATTTTTGCATTTTTTGATCCTTACCTTCCTTCTACGCAAAAAATACATAACACATGCTAAATGTCTTAATAAAACAGATAAGGAGCATTTACACCATTTACAGTATGAATCAGATAACCAAACATTAAAATTACAAATGACTTTTACAGTACAAAACCCGGCTGCTTTCAGATCATGGATACTTATTTGAATATATATTTTACACATAAATAAAAGGGCAGATTGATAACATTACCTGGATCATCAAGAAACAGATTCACCTTCACAGGTTTCTTAATTTCAAAGGTTTATGAAAATATACTGGGGGCAAGATTTTTGTTTTACCTGTAGATCCCAAATTTTCAGTTGAAGATTCATAACTGTCAGACGTGACTTGATCTTTGAATTTTCTAAGATTTAGACTACCTCGCCTTCCGAAAAGAGACTTTGACCACGGTTTCCCATGGCCTTGTAGCATCTTTGGTTTTTCCTTCAACGAATCCCTCGAAGAGCTGAGCGGAAGCGAGTCAAGCTTTAACGTATGAAGTTTAGCCAAAATCCCTGCATCATTAGCAAAACTCTCTGATCTAAACAGATTTTTAAAATCAATTAAAGGTAAGTTTAAAAAACAATTAAAAACATTTCCAACCTTGTCAGGATTTTATATGAATTTTTATTTATTGTAGAAATTGGCGGGCTTGTAGGAGGTGGTTGCCTTAACGGATTATTGAATTCTGTACAAGAACCACTGCGATATCTTCTTTTATTTGAACTAACCAGTCCATTTGGAGAAGTTACGACATTAAATTGAGTCAAGTCTAACTCTTCTTCTTTTAAAGGACCACCTGCACCAGTTATCAACAACCCAGCACTGCTTTCAACTAATGTTCGCAAATAAATGTTTTAATTTATTATAATAATAAACATTTTTAAAAAATTTGAACAATTGACTAACATGTATGCTGTTTAAAGTTGGTAGATTGATTCAACAGAGGTAATCCTGTTGGACGTACGATACTACCGACCTTAGATCTAAAGTTATCAAAAGCAACAAAACCTTCACTATTTGCTGCAACTTGGTTATCTGGAAACAAATAAAAATTAATTTTTATCAAAGCACAAAACCAATATTGACCTGATGGTAAAGAACATGCTATAAGCATTAGTAGATAGAAAAATAATAATAAAAAAAGAAGCATTATCTGTTTCAAAACATGCAGTTCATACAGTAAAATTAGTGTGAATGAAATGAAATTTAATGAATTAGCTTATATTTAAAAAATTGTTTCATACAAAATGCAAATTCCTCCATTGATACCACATACCGACTGAGTCACAATGACTATCATTGTCTTCAACTTGTGTCTGTTTGCATGCTTCTGTTTCTTCCACCTCGACAGCTTCTGTAAAATCATTTCCTTCTGGATATAAAATGATTTAAAACTCACCGAGGCCTACTGAAAGATTACGGGTAATGTGACAAATGAGTGTGTTTGTGCACACTAATATTTCTACAGAAGTGAATGAATACTCAAAAACAAAACAAACCTACTTCTACTAGCAAATAACTAAATACAAGTGTAACTACCACCCAAAACCTATAATTTGTAAAAGCAAAGGTTGAAAGATATTGCTCAATAAAATAAAAACAAATTCTTAAATATATAAAGAATTTATCTAACCATTAACTTTCTGGCTTAAACTCCCTGCACTGTCAATAGATGTATGGGATCCACAATTTAACGAAGGATCGAGGAGAGAAAGGTTGTCATCTGCAGCGGTAGAGTGTTTCCTCTTCCCCGCCAATCCTTTTTTAAACAGAGCAGCACACAAAATGACATTTCTAAAATTGTAAAAAATAAAATAAAATAAAATAAAAAATAACAACCGTACACAAATTCATAATGAAACACATACCGCAATTTGTTCCACAACAGCTGACTAGAATTGCTCATTCCTGAGGGCCAAGTCGCTTCGAGCACAGCCCTATTGTAAAATCCGTATGTAATGGCGTTGGGCTGAATGCCCGCTCTTTTCATATGAAATAATAGTTTAACGGCAACAACAGGCAGTCTATACACTCCACACAATTGCATCATTACTCGGAAACAGATCTGTTGAGAAGTCATTTTTTACAAATAAATTATAAACATCAACACAAATCAAACAAAAAGCTTACTTCATCCGAAAGGGTTAATTTGCACTTATGTACTTTTACCATTACATCATAAGCATACTGAAGTATAGCAGGAGGGCTCTGAGCAGATAACACATAGCTTGGAAGATGTATGAACCAAATACTAAAACAGTTAAAAAAATTCATTAAGGATTTGCCCACACGTGCATCATTTTATTTAATTTATTTCAGCAGAATAGCAGGGCAAAATTGTTAATTTAATTATCATATAAACAATTAAAATTGCACATCGGCGAGTTTTTGGGACACCTTTTCATTGATGACAGTTTTCTATGTACATGTGAAAAGTCTTGAGTGAATGTATTTATTAATGTGAAATGATGTGAATGTAGACAGCCATAGCATTAAGCACTTTTACTTAGATTATTTACATTCTTGGTGCATATGGTAATGTAGGAATATCAAGTAATCCTCTATTGGAGTGAAAAATATCTAAATATGATTGACTATGAGAAAGAATGAATGCGAATAAATGTTTAACTTATAATTTGCATTGGGGACAAACAGATTATAACCAGGGAGCCCGATGTCAGTGTCCAGTATCAAAAGGCGATTCTTAAAACCTACCTTGAGAAGAATAAAAATTATTTTTCTTATCACGATTCTCACCTACAACAAGTTGACCATAGACATTGAGCCCAAAGTTGAGGATTGGTGGAACATTTTCTAGCAAGCCGCTGTGCTGCTTTTATTTCATGTTTGGTCCGTCTAGCCATAGGGCTACCAGGGGCAATTCCACTTCCACTGTGACGACTGCTCTTTTTATCTTTGCTAGACGATAACAAATTGTTGAAATGGTTGAGCTGGAGGAGGTTATGATTCAAATTAAATCCCTGGAAAATTGAAGAAAAAAATCAATATATTATCACCAAATTATTCAAATTTTATGCATTTTGTGATTGTCCTTTCTGAAATTATTTTATTAAACCTCATTCTCCCCCAGGTTTACTCACTTGATAAGTATAAATTTGTCCCGTAGGCTCAGGGGGCATTATTATCACAGTCCGTTCACTTTGGTGGCTGTCATCAACTTCTAGTAAATGTACATTTTCATCTTCCTCCACCTGAAGAATTTTGTTTTGCGTGTGAAAAACCTATCACAAATCAAAAATAATAAATTAATTACCTTATCCGTGCACTCATCAAAAAAAGCAAGCCCAGCATCCATATCTGAGACAAAAGATCGCTCCTCAATAAATCTAATGAACATTTGAGTCTTTGTAACATAATTAAAAAACTTGTGGCTCCATTTATCTCTGGATTTTAAAAAACCTGAAATAAAAAAACCAATGTAAAAATTGACAAGAAACACAAAGATAACCAACCAAACCATAAAATCAGTGCAAAGATTAGGTGAAAATAAATACGTTTTAAAAAATCAACGAACCATTTAAATCGAACAAAGAATTTGTATCTGTTGTACCCACAGTAGGAGCCTTGGTGATGGGAAGTAAAAAATTCTTGTAACCTTTTAATATTGTCGCCATAAATTGTAAAAATGCAACTTGTATATCCAATTCTAGTTTTTGCTATAATAAAAAAATACATATTGTATAAGGTAATAAAATTTAAAAAAGTTTCATGCAATATCTCTTTCAAACCTCTTTTCTTTTAAACTGAAACTCCTTATCTATGGATGTAGTATCGACAGGCAAAGGTTCGTGTATAAAATGGGCCAATTGTTTATAAAGGGTTTCCAAAGTTTGCCTTAACACCCGTCCAGGTTTCTTTGGCAACAATTTTATATTTATCTCCCTCTCTCTTTTCTTTTCATCAATCCTGAAATTCAAATTTGACAAGACTTAACAAAATCCATTAATTAGAAATTTAAGACTTACATAGAGACATTGTTAGTGTCTAAATCGATGCAGATGACATCAGGTGGAGGATCGTAAAGATCAAAAAATCTTGAATCGACTCCGATGAGAAAAGGCAGAGGAGCATGCAAAACTTCAGCAAGACCCAACGGGCACAGAGGGATGTAAGGGCACTGCCACTTAAATGGAAATAAAATCTAAAAAAAAAAAAAAGCAACAATTATAAGTCACAATTAAAAGAACAAATTTAAGAATTAAAATGTCGTACCATTGAAACGGCTTCAGCCACGGCAGTTAGAACATCTGGACGAAGTGAATGTACTAATATTTTCTGTTCAGTCAAAGCACAGACTAGGATGAGAAGACAATTGTCAGCTCCTAAATTCATGAGAAGCTGCCGGAATTTGGCTCCACTGATGGATTAAAATTAAGTTGTTTTACATTTAATAAAATATTGTTTTAAATTATATTTACCTTCTTGGAAGAGGGAGTTCTTCTGGCTGAGTTAAAAAAAGTTTATCTGTGGGACTAAGTTCCACTAAAATTCCAGGACCTTGTGGCGAAGGAAATGGTATTTCTTCCATAAAATATAATATGAACCTGAAAAAATTGAAACAATTAAGAAGGGATCATTTTGAAAAATGAAAAAATTAATTACCGTTCAATAGAAACGGCATGAGGACCAGCAGTTGATATGGACATTTCATATAAAAAAATCAAAAAACGTTCAAAAGTGTCAAAAAAAGGCCATCTCGATAATAGGCAAATACACTTATTAACATTATAAGTCCACTCAGTTTCAGGAAACCCTGGTTTACCATCCAACGCCTTCTTTTGCTCATCAGTCAACAACTCTTCAGGATACGATTCGTAAAACATAATAGCCGAACCATAAAGCTTTTCCGCAGCATCAGAAACAGTCAGAACAAAAGTGGAAAAAATTGGATCGGGTTGTTGCGCAGCCTTCGGCCATTTTTCCAGTGAGCAGCCCAGCGGAAGGCAAAACATAGGAACAGTTTCAGGTAAGGGTAGATTTTCTCTATCCTCAAATGGATATCTCAAAAGAATTCCTGAAAAACAACATACTCAGTTTTGTTTCTTTTATATGTCCAAAAACCAACAAACCTGGTTTATAAGTAATTAAATTAGTTCTATTCATAGATTTTTTATAACAAATATAAACATCTGAACCGACCTGCAAGCAAAAATTTGTTTAATATTATTGTTAAGAACAACTGGCATTAAAAATATTACTTACAATCCCCCTGTTTAGATTTTTCTTTATCATGCAAAATGCATGTGGTGCTGTCTCACCCTTACTAGTAAGAATGACAGCGATTTCCGTGACTACCAACGAATTGCAGGGCATTGTGTCCTTCGCTCGTCTAAAGGTAAGAAACGTTTTCGCCGTTGAGTTGTTAATGTTGGCACAATGATTGCCATGTGTTGTTGCAACAACTTCAGAATCAGAAAGAATCGATTCTTTGCCCTCAAACATAACACTAGAAAAAAAGGAACAATAAAAATATACAAATAAATATCAAAGGCATGAGTCAATTGATAAACACATTAAATAAATCTTATTTTGGAAGGAGGGAAAATTCAAAAGGTGTGGTTGAAATGGGAAGTTGGTGTCCGAGTGGATCAAGGTCACGATAGCTCAAGTGGTAGAGCAGCAGCGTATCAAGTCGAAGATCGTGGGTTCGAATCCCGCTCGTGCCATTGACTTTTTTATCTCAACTAAAAACCTGAATTAATTGTAACTTATTTTGGATTGTTGATTGCAATTTTATGTAACAAAAAGTACTTAATAGAAAAATAAAAAATTAAATTAGAAAATTCTGAACGAGAAAATTTTAAAGTAGCTTTTAGAGGTGCGTTTACACTTACAAACATCTTCTCAAAGCCTAAAGACAAGGTGGACAACTGGTTAAAAACAACAAACTTTATTGTAATGATTACGATATTAAATATATAGGACAAATTAAAACAAGAGTTAAAGAACACTTGCCTAAATTTAACATATTTTCTGAATTTAAAGACCATCTAAATGAAATAAAACAAAATTTAAATTGAAAAATATCACATACTTTCAACAAAGAGTGGGAACCAGATTAGTTTGAGAAATTTGAAGAAAAAAAACTAATCATGTAAATAAATGCATAAATAATATTGTAGATTTTGATTTACCCCCTATTTTAAACATGTAAAATAATTTTACAAAAAGAGAAATACTCAATAGTTTTAACTGATGAGAAATCTGTTACTTAAGTTTACTAAAAGACAATTGGTAATCGTATCTTTATCATCTCCAATTGTCCTGATCATATTAGTGATTGAAACTATCAGTCACTTGTATTCATCTTTTACTTGGTAAAACTAAAATAAATCAAGTCAAATACGTATAACAAAAGACGTATACTAAAAGATCATATAATGCATTTTTTTTAAATTAATTTATTTATTTTTCTTTAAGTTTAGTTTCAGTCACATTCATTATATGTAAAGTAATTTTTGAATTTATGGTAAAAAAGCCAATGTCATGGAAGAGATTCGAACCCAAGTCTTTGGAACTGTACCCCGACACTCTAACCACCCGAGTCACTGTGACTTCTTCGATCACCAAGACACCGACTTTTCTATCTCAACACATAGTTTTCATGCAGTTCACTTTTTTTATACTTTTGTCCAAGTTATACATTGTGGCATAGATGTCACAACTGCTTTAATTAGACGGGATTAAGCTATGCTCATGAATATCATGCTAATTGTAGACGTTACAGATTTTTTTTTTTTCAGTTTCAGCTCCACTGTGGGTAACTTGGACAATAAAAATGGGAATTGCATAAAAATTATTTATTGCTGAAGACTGAGAAGAAAATCTCTTCCTAAAGGATTAATAATCATCATAAAAAATAATAATATTTAAAAAAATTAATAAAAATAAAATAAATAATTAACATAACATTAAAATTTAACAGAGATTTTATTAAGATTTATTAAGATCCAATTTTATTAAGATTTAAAATAACATTATTAATTAACAGAGTAAACATTTTTCCTGTTAAAAATAACACAAATTGGCTGTTCAGAAGTGAAATCCAGCCCATTAAGCGGTATGTTGCCATGCTTATTTTAGGAATAGGTTTTTGCTTTTCAGATTGGAATTTATAAATACAAAATTATAAATTTAAACATGGTACGGCTATTGATATAATGTCTAGTTGTTTAGAGTGTAAAAGATGTAAAATTATGAGTTATTAAAAGAGCCTGTACTATGTGATTATAATAATTACTTTTTTTTTATCTTTTGAAATGTGCTGTCTCATTCTATCAAACGTCAATGGAGAAATTTGGTCATTTCTTCACTACTATGAATTTGTCAACATAGTGTTTTAACTTGAAATAGCATTACAGAGCAGCTTTAAAAATAAATGTCATTAAGCAAAAAAAGTGAAACTAAAAAAACAGTAAATTTTCCAAGCCTAGTTGTAAAATAAACAATAAATAATACTTGTACAGAGATTAAAACTGAAATATACACTTTTAATGTCAAGGCCGACAGGTATGTCATTGTCAAATTCCTGTTTTGTTCTTCTTCTCTTTCACGATGAAAAATGTCAATCTTACCAATTTAGATGTTGACAACTCATGAACTATTGGATTCATATAATCAGGAGCTTATTACTGACGCGCTCAAAGTGCATGAGCAATATTTAAGTTGAAGAACCTGGCCTTTTAGAACCATTTCAATTAAAATAGGTTGACAAAATGTACAATTTGTTTGCACATAAAATAAAAAGATGCTGCTTCTACACCAATTGAAACAAAATAACTGCTTAAAAGCCTCAGCTATATGCAGAGTAAAAATTAACTGCTATGATGAAATTCTGATAAATATATCATAAAACTGGCAGACAATTTTGTTACATTTTTGTCTAATTGTGTCATGTAATTCATCAAAAAATAAAATGTTTATTACATATTTTTCTTATATACAAGCTAGTGTTTTAATTGAATTTGATGAAAAATTGTACACTTAAGTTAGTAAGTTGGGTCCCACCTATCACGTAACTTCAAAATATTGTGTAAATGTCTGTGAGGTACTAGGTTTTGTTTTGTCATATATATTTTCAGCTTTTTATACAGTGTTCCATAAACCAAACCCATCACGAAAATTAAAAGCGTCTGAAATACAAACCAGTACGAATATGAACAGGATTGAACTATGGGTTACCTTAGATTAAACAAAGATGTTTTTGGCTACGAGCAAGGAGTAACGATTGCTACAAAGGAATTCTGGTCATAATGAATATGTTGTATGACAAGGATGTAACATTTTATGAAACTTGTGGTTTAATGACCGTTAATTAACGATTATTTACAATGGGATGTGGTTTGGTGTGACGTAGAACAAAATTTTACTCAATCAATAAAGTAAAATACTGTGGATACAAATACTTTGAGTCTAAAATTTCTAGCATTGTATAGATTCATTTCAGTATAATTTAAACAATGTTTATAAATCCCAGGCCCTGAAGATGATCTCAATAAAGATCGAAACGTTGGCACAATAAAGAAAATGTTTTACTAAAATGTACGTCACACCAGACCGCATCCCTCGATCTACAAATAATCATTTTATGAAACCTTTGTATAAATCACTTTGTCATGTAATTTATCAAAAAATTACATAGTTTTCTTATATACATATATTCAATTAGTCCATAGTCCAAATAGTATTTGATGCAAAATTGTACCCCAGCCTACACTAATTTTTTGTCGCGAACGTGTAACTTTGAGATATTGTGGTGAGGCCTTTGATGCACCATTTGGTTTGACCATCCTGGTCTTTCTGTTATCGCTGATTTTGGTTCAGACAATTACAGCATTATGTCATCTATGATCCAAATCATAGATCCAAACTATAAGTGAAATAAAAACTGTCTGAACTAAACCAGTGAGAATGTAGAAATAATAGGATGATCAAACTACAGGTTACTTCACTACAATGCAGTAATATATAGTCTTAATGGCTTTAGTTAGATTAAAAATGTTAATATTTTATAGAAATGAATTAGCTAGAAGAAAAATACACCCTTGAAGGACACATGGACCCATTGTACCAAGTGATTTTGGATTATTAAATTGAAGAATGAGAGCTATGCGAATGGAATTACCCGATGTCAACCAGAGGAGGCCTGTCAAAGCCCCTGCGGAAGCAGAGATAGACATCAGGGCTGCGGAGGCTCCCGTGGTTCAGGTCCGCCAAGTTACCTGGGGGCAGAAACACAGATGATCGTTAATGCGCATTCAGGGTCGACCGATCAGCCCGACCGATCCAACTTACCGGCAGGGGTTCTGGACAAGACGGTGTATCCTTCAGGCGGGTCCTCATTCAGGGACGGAAAGAAGACAGTTATGTCGGTTATCGGTGCCTGGCTGTGGCTGGACTTCATGTGGTTCCCCTCTTTCGAAAAGTCGTCCAGCGGGCGCATCTCCTGGGGGAGGCCGGCGATGACGAAATAGTCGACAACCCTCCGTTCGTCCATCGTTCCAGAGGGTGGAAACAGAACTCGAAACTCACACCGACCCCTTGTCCTCTCCTCTTCCACTTCCCACTCTCGCCTTCAACGTCAATCCGACCCGGTACATCGTACCTCTTCAACGAATCGAGGAATATTCTGGGTGATATTGTGTAACAACCACCCCGAGGACGACAATACGCTCTATTTACAAAAAAAAACACCACCGACACTGGAACGTCGCAATCTAAGTAGTTATCATCTCAAAGGTACGACAATTCACTCGAAACGCCATTATTTTTCTTTTAATTGTTAAAACCTTCGACTGCCCTCTGCCCGTCAAGTCAAACAAAGGCAGAAAAGAGAATCGCACAAAGTGATCGTAAAATTACACAACGCCATCTGAGAGGCGAGGGTCGAACGGCGAACCCCACCGCCAAACGTTCGATTTCTCGACAATCCGAGCAGAATCGCTCTCCGAACGATTCGAAACACTTTTAAATCACTCAGAGACGTGGCCGAACTGATAGAATTTTAAGGAGTGGCAAACAAACGACTCGACACTCTCGACGGACCTTTATTGCCGGCCAATCAAACAATGAATCATCTTTCACTTCGGTTCAATCAACTAGAACCGACCCAATCAAACGACCGTTCGTCATTCCGTCCCGGCCCCAAAAATTCCTTATCGAATTAGTCCAGAAATTAGATCAAATTCCAATTTTATTATTATTACACGACAGGCTAATTACCGCCGATTATTAATCTTGCACTGGACAGATTATTTGCCAAGTGGAATAAACCATTTTTCACCCAGTAAAACGTCAATGAACTCCTTCAGTGAAATAAAAGAAAACTTTAAATTACAAAAATAATGGGCTAAATTGATTATCAATATAATGTCTTGCAATTATAAACTTTAATCGACAAACAAAAAAAAACAAAATAAATTAAACATATTTTTAAGAAACTATGTCAACTTAAAACTACTTCCACCTCATGGATATGATTATACTCTCTTGTGGATGAATGAATTAAAAATAACTTTATTAACAAAAAGAAAATACATTTATAATAAGTAATTTATAAATTATATAATTTATTACTTAATATATACTTAAGGAAGTACATAAAAATTAATATAAAAACAGTTATTATACAGCATTGATTATTAAACCATTTACTGGCGTTGGTGACCGACAATAATTTGAGTAGAAGATAATAATAAAAATTAAGTAAAGAAAATTAAATTAGATTAAAACTGTTAATTCTTCTCAATATAAAATTATATCAAATTTCACATTTATTGTTATTACATCGCAGGCTAATTACCGCCAAGTATTAATCTTGCACTGGGCAAATCATTTGCCAAGTGGAATAAACCATTTTTCACCCGGTAAAACATCAACGAACAACTTCACTGAAATAAAAACAAACCTTAAATTAAAATTATAATGGGCTAAATTTATTACCACCATAATATTTTGCAGCTATAAACCTTAATCAACAAATTAAAAAAGACATAAAATAAATGAAACTGATACTTAAAAGAAATTATGTCAAATTAAAACTACTTCCACCCCTTGGATATGATTAATATCCTCTTGTGAATGAATGAATGAAAAAAGAAATTTATTTAAAAAAATATATATGTTTATATACTTAAGGAAGTAATAATAATAATAATATTAAGAAATATAGCTCCCTAAAAAGCTATATTATCAAGCCGAAGGTCGTGGGTTCGAATCCCTCTCGTGCCATTAGCTTTTTTTCATCTCAACTAAAAACCTTAATTAATTGTAAAGTATTAATTGGTCAAGCAGACCACGAAAATAGTGAACTTAAATTAAAATAATAATGCACTAAATTGATTATCAACATAATGTCTTGCAACTATAAACTTTAATGAATCAAAAAGCAAACAAAAAACATAAAATTAATGAAATGGATATTTTTAAGAAACTACGTCAAATGAAAACTACTTCCACCCCCTGATATGATTAATACTCCCTTGTGAATGAATGAAAGAAAAAAATGACTTTATTTACAAAAAGAAAATACATTTATATACTTAAGAAAGTATAACAGAAATTAAAATAAAAACATTTTTTATACAGCATTGATTTTTAAACCATTTGCTGGAGGTGGTGGCCGGCTGAGAATCATTTGGATAGAAGAAAATAGTAAAAAATTAAGTAAACAAAATTAAATTAGATTAAAACTGTTAGAGCTTAAAAATTATATCACATTCTAATTTTATTGTTATTACATTGCAGGAAAATTACTACCGATGCCCCTTCTGGTGACTAGCAAAATGAGTATGTGAGGCTTACGAGAGATTCACCCCAATATGCATATCGGAACTGCATAATGCTAAAAAAAATGATGGTACTAGAACACATTAAATATGTAACCATTAAGTTTTTTTTTTATCAATGTGAATACCTAATATCTACTAGTACCAGTACAAGTTGCCAAATAGGTAATTATTGTTTGGACAATAGATACAGATACAGGAAAATAAAGCACGCTCTCCTATAACTTGGTCCAATTATATATTTTTCCTCAATGTATAATATTTGTAAATAAAAAATTTTCGTCATGATTTGAGAAATAATAGATATTTTTCAAAAGTTTGAGCATTAAGTAAAATCATTTTCACCCTGCTGGGCTCAATTAAAAGTTTCTTTTCCTGAACAGCATTCCCCTGAAGTAATTTTTAGAATTTAAGAAGGCGAATTGAGAAAACGCCTTACAGAACGAAAAACGCTTTATTTTAAGATTTTTATTTCTGCGAGCATTTTACAATGTAGTTAAACATTTGTATTATTTTTCTTATTCTTAGAGAAATGTTTTGTATTCGATCTAAGTTTGCGTTATTGGCGAAACGGACGAGAAGTTCCACTCCAAACCCCAAAGTCGTAAGGCGCAGGTGCGCTTGGTACTTGGAAGTCGGATGAAGAATTCTTTCGCCCGTGGCGCTTTCTGTGAGCACTCATTAACAATTAAAGCTTGGAAACAAATTGCACTAGGGTTATCTTACTGTCAACAACAACTTTTGGCCCTTTCTGGAAAGTACCTGTCAACGGCTTCACAGTCGGTTTTCCCGACATTGATCTCAAAACGGAAATGGACTCAATTCGCCTTTACGATTTCGAATCCACTTAGAAGGTGAGCGAATCGATACCATTCCAACCCGTTTATAACACAAAATCTGGGCGTTGGCTTTGAATTAGTATTTATAATGGACCAATTCCAAGCGTGATCTCTTCGCTTATCTTTTTTTTAAACTGTTATCCATTAAATTAGAGCAAGGAGATTGTTTGGTAAAGGTGCGGATTTGCTGGGGAAATCCCTGTGTTCATCATAAAAAAAAATCAATGATTTATTTTCTCAGAGAAACTACAATTTATACTTTCTAACTTAACTGGACCTTTTGTAATAATTTTCGAAAAAATAATGTACGAAACCCAAATATGAGGTTGCTGATTAATCAGCATATAATGGATACGCTCAAGTATTAACTTTTATGATTAACAAGTAAGCAAGTGAAAAAAAAATCAACATTTGCTCTAGTTTAATAATCAAAATATATCAGCGATCCACTTTTTATTCATTGTTTTTATTGTTAATTAGAAACGAATTGTTATAATTTCTTCTTGGTATGGACTTTCTTAAATGGACAGTATCATTACTTCAAACCAAGTATTAAGAGGTTATTGATTAAGTAGCCTATCACGAGCAGGTTTAAGCATTGATGGGCAGTATCGCAACTTCATCAAACCAAGTATTACAAGGTTCCGTAAGCATGCCCGAGTATGATGAGGTTAATGATTAATCAGCTTATCATGGATATGTTCAAGCATTGATTGTATCCAGAATGGATATAAAAACTACATTTACTCTAAAATGTATTTCAAAGTATTAAATAACATCACAAGCAGGTTTAAGTATTAATGGGCAGTATTGTTTCTTCACCATGTATTATGAGGTTACTGATTAATTTGTTGAAGTCATGAGGAGCGGTGAAGAATAAGGTAGTTTAGAAAAAAAAACCTTTTTCATTTTTTTGGCGCACGTTTCGACCTTTATTCGAGTCATCTTCATAGCCTGGGTACATTACCAAACATATGTTGATAGGAAAAATTCAATTTAAGATGTAAATATAAATTTTGAACCAAGTATTTTGAACTCACATAAAGTGTGTTGTATATCCAGGTCCTGAAGTTGAGTCAAATAAAAGTTGAAACAGCAAAAAAAATGAAAAAGATGTTTTTCTAAATTACCTTATTCTTGACTGCTCTTCACAATTCCAACAAATTATGAAATAACAGGTCACTAAGAAACACACATGTTACTGATTAAGTAGTCTATCACGATGGGTTTGCAGCATGAGGTCAACCATCGGGGTGTCGGTGGTTTTGAAAAATAATCCCATATGTAATGTAATGTTGGGATATCAGGATCGATTGTAAAGCTGCTGCATTCGAACCCAGGACCTTTACCTTAGAGTGATGAGCGCTGTGTCAACGCTTAAACCATTACGACCATCGACACCCCAACCCAAGTATTATGAGGGTGTTGTTTAAGAAGCCTATCACGAGCAGGTTTGATGGGCAGTATCATTACTTCATCAAACCTATTTATTACAAGGTATTTAAGCATACTCAAGTATTATGAGATTACTGATTAATTAGCTTATCATAAACATATTCAAGTAAAAATAAATGAAAGTATACAACATTTAAATAAACAAATATTCCTATTGGCTCTGGCATATATATGAAAATAACAAACTTGTCACACATTTCTTTCTAAGCATAGAGACCTCCACAAACTATCTATGCAAGCCATTGTACGTCTTTTACCGCATCCCTCTTAGAATGTACGACATATTAAACATATTCTAATGTCTAGAAGCTAAGGGCACAGGTAATTCCAATCAGAATGTATTCTGTTATATAGAATTTTTATTGTATATGGTTTTTTTTTTTTTTAGTGACAATAATTTGTTGGATTCGTGAGGAGTGGTTAAGAATGAGGTTGTTTAGAAAAACACCTATATTATTTTTTTGCCAGCACAACAATTTCACACAACACCAGTATGACACCACAAGAATACCACCACGCTTTATGCCCTGAAGATGACCTGAATAAAGGTCGAAACGCCACAAAAAAATGAAAAAGTTGTTTTTCTATACTACTTCACTGTTGACCCTTCCTCACTAATCCAACAAATTAAAAAAATAATTGTATACATTAATTAGTTTGTAATTATTTACTTAATATTTATTACATAACTTTTGATTATATCCCTTAGCACATTTTTTTAAAATTCTATATATTTAACAATAAAAAATTGTACATTAATTAGTAATCATATTATTATAGCACTGTTAGGATATTGTAGTGCAAGATTTCCTCTATAGTGTGCTATGGTAAATGTGTTATTTTTGTAAATGAATAAACATCATTCATTTTTGTATGGACATTTTGTAAAAAATTTCGAAAAATTTTTTCAGCAAACCCAACTATTATGAGTTTAATGATTAAGTAACATATTATGAGCAAGCTTAAGCATTGATGAGTAGATCTGACATGAATATAAAATATACTCGTTTTTAGAACTTTGCCCAAGTTTTAACTGAAGTTTTCTTTTACCAATTTCTAACAAGTCATAAAGTTCTTATTGCTGTTATTTTGATTTTAAAAAAAAATTTCAAGCACCTAATTATTTATCAGTTAGTTTATTGAAAATAGATAATTTATTGATCATTTATTTATATTATAAGATAAAAAAATAGTTTGTCGGAGTATTTCAATAAATTAGCTTCTTAAAACTTTTTTTTGTCATTTAAAACAGCAATAATTTTTACACCTTGAAATTCATAGAAAAAATAAAAAACCTATCCCTTGAATTCAATGAAATTCAAAATTGATAGTACTTACTTAAATTTCTCTTTTCTAACAATTTCAAAAATTTATTTCAGCAAACTCAAGAACTATAAGGTTACTTGAGAGAACGCAAGTATTGTATGGTTACTCGAGAAAACTCAATGATTATGATGTTACTTTAACAAAGTTGAGTATTATCTGGTTAAAGATGAAATGGATCATGGATACCCACCATCAACTTTTCATTATTAAAATGTATAGTATATGTTCCGTGCAGTGCGAATTTTACTAGCTGCCTTGGCTGCACTAGTACCAAGCTACAATTCATACAATCTGCATACACTAATTATGGGTTTTAAGGCCATGTGAAAGAAAATATTTGTTAATTTACAGAACAGTTCAAAACATTTTTTTTTATGAACTGTTGCTTTATTCTGTCGGTATTACCTGATGTAAACATCTAATCCTTTATAAAAAGAAAAATGTAGGTTAACAGTATTAAAACATTAACAAATGAAAAACAGCTCAAACCTGGTAACTAAAACGATTATTCCATCTCAACAAAAAATATTTATTCACTCATAAATAAAATACTTTGATTTTTTTTAATGTGATAAATAGATAATGCATTGTAAATTTATGCCATGGTATTTTTATTTTTATTATTTTTTATATATTACTTTGTGTAAAATATATTCAATGAGATTTATGTGTTTTTGGTTATTTTCAGGATGTCAGAAAATGGGGCATCAACATCTAAACATATTGATGGGAGTGAGCTTCCATTCAAAAAGCCGAGGCATATATTAAAATTCCATGGAAGTTACCAATTGAAGCAAGAGGAAGAGGGTGTCGAAGAAGGGCAATGTTCCGCCTTAAGTAATTTATCAGAGGCTGACAGGCCTCTCAGAAGGAATGTCTCTTTCATCGAATGGCACACCCAGCAGATGGCAAAGGCGCTTTTTGATAATACAATCAACAGTATGATCGAAGAGGTCGGCTTTCCACTTCCTGAAATTGAAAACCTAATTCACGACGAATGCTACCTAGAAGACGAAGCTGTCAGAATGGCGATTAGAAGCCACGGCCTTCAAAAACCTTGTTCTTGCACTCAAAAACGGCACAATCGTCCTCTGCCCGAAAACATTCCCTTTCATCAGAGAAATAATTTTATCGTGGAAGATGATCCGTCCACTTCTTTAAAATCATCTCTTGAAGCTGATATCCTGTCAGAAGCTGTTACCATCGCCATACAGAAAAAAGGCTTGGGTGCATCTCAAAACGGCAGTCTCTAAAACTACATAGGGGTTATAAATTATATATGTATCTTTACTGGGGATAGATATTTATATTAACAGTTTTATATGTACTGCTGATCTGATGCCTTTATATACAAATTTAAAATTATAAGAGAGGCCAAAATTCATTTTTACGACCATATTTTTGAAATTCCAATTCAGCAAAGGTCATATAAAGCAATAAATGGTTCGTTTTTTAAAATGTTTCATTTTTTTTATTTTTGTGTATGAAAAGTTTTCCATTTGCCAATACCTGCCATTTCAAAGTTAGTATTAATAATTCTTAAAAAAAAAAACAAAAAAAAATGTGTATAACATTTTCTTTAACAAATATGTAATGCTTTTGTAAATATTTTAAGTTAGTTATGTGTTTATAATAAGGGTACAGACATTAATTCACAATACCTTTTATGCTTTTAAGTTTGGTTTCAATTAAATGTACAAATACATATCATTTTATCATGTTGAGTGTGACAGTTTTTCTGTGTTAATATTCATTTATAATTTTATAACCTATTATACCTTGAAAAAAAAAATAACAATTGTATTCATATAATATTACTTCTATTTAATAATAATAATAAAAATGTTCCTAAATCCAAGTGTTGTAAAAGAATTTATTAAAAAAAAATTAATGGTCTTGCATGATAATATAGCACTAGTCTAATTGGTAAATGATAACTTTGAAATAAAATATATTGGAAGATTTTAATACATGATGTCTTTTTGTTACCATTTGGTCCATCTTAAATTCTCATATTATAATTTACTAGTTTTATAACAAAGAATTGCGCTAACTACAGCAACGATGATAAAGTTTATCTTGTATTAATTATTTTTAAAAAAATGCACTTATTATTTTTAAAGGAAGTGGCAAAACCCGAATTTAAATTATATTGAGAAAAAATGTGTGAAGTGAGTATACTGATAAAATAGTTAATTTAAAGAAACTGTTAGAACAATCCAACTCTTCTAGTCATCAATATAAGTTAAAAGTCCTGGGTTCAAATCCATCAGCCCATTTGAACTTGACATATGGGTTAAAAAAACCAAACTTTACTTTGTACTTTTCACTTACTTTTTAATTTTTTAAATTAATACAATTTCAGAGTGTTGAGAAATGACCCTACTGGAGTGCCACGATTTTCAATGTTATGCATGCTGTTTTTAATGTTTTGTTTGCAAGAAGGGTAATAGAAAAAGTGAACATTTTAACATCATAGGTTTAAAAACACTGAACTATCTGTATGAACTGAAATAAAAAAAAATTATTGTACTTTTCATTTACTTTTTAATTTTTCAAATTAACACAATTTAAAAGTGTTGAGAAATGACACTACTGGTGTGCCACGATTTTCATTGTTATGCATGCTGCTTTTAATGCTGTTTTGTTTGCAAGAAGGGTAAAAGAAAAAGTGAACATTTTAACATCATAAATTTATTGAAATATTTTACCTATTTCAAACTTGTAAACAATAAGACAAATATATAATCATACAGCTATAACATTATATACAACAATTTGCCGTAACTTTAGTTTATATACTTCTGTTACAAATGTAAATGTGCGAATCATTTAAGAAAATTACAGATTTGTCCATTCTTAAAAAAAAAAATCAAGTAATAAATTTTAAATTAAAATAAAGCAAGCTTATTTTTTTCACAAATATAATAATTAAAAAGATACAAATTACATAATTAAACTAATAATATTAAGAATAAAATTATTAAAGTAAAAGTCAAGAAAAATGAAATTATTCACTCATTGAAAATATTTTAATTGGATAATTTTTTTTTGTCTTAGTTAATCAGGGCATTTTCGTTTTGCCCAAGATCTGCCAATTTCCTTAAAAACTAAAAGAATACAACAGAAAATAACTTTCATTAACAAAAAGAAAAAAAAATCAATGTTTTCTTAATATGATCATAAAGTACAATATTTACAAATTTATTTGTTAGTTTTTTAAACTGTGGTTAATAGGTTTTTTGGTTATTATTTAATTTTTTTTTTTTTTTTACAATAAAAATAATAAAGCCGATAGAGGGTAAAGGCAATGAAAGTTTCCTTTTAAAGATAAAATCCACTGAGATTCAACTACCACAGCAGTTTTTATTTTAACCATTAATCATTTTATTATTAATTTCTTTTATTTACAAATTGATAAGATTTTGGTAATTAAATGATATATTTTTTCTCTTTAAAAAAAAACTACTTAAGCAAATTAACCAGACTTTAAAATTTTTTTTTTTATTTTTTAAACCGAGGCTTTTTTTTGTTTAAATTTTAATTTGAGCATTCTTCGACAATACAAAATGTTAATCCAGACCTTAAACCGTTGTGCTTCATCGTGGAAAAAAAAGACTCGGCCCAAAAAATTTTAAAGAAGAAAAAAAGTTCGTTTTTAAAAACAGGTTTGTAATAAATTTTCAGATTTTTGTCGTAAGTTAAAATTTCTGGTTATGATTAATACAATGTCATGGTTCTCTTATATAAACATAAAAGTCGTTAAAAATACAAAAGGTCGATATTGTTTCAGTTATAGGTTATCTTCTTAAGAAATGGAGGAAAGAGAATTTCTTTTCTTGATAAAGTACAACAGAAAGAGGAGTAACTAACGTACTTTCAAAAATGGAAGATTAGTACAACTGTGAATACAATTATTAAAATTTTATATGTATTTAAGAATTTGGTTCTTCTTGATCTAAGTTTTTTTTAAAGCTTAATTAATCCAAATTGTGAAACATTGTCGTGTGGTTTGCGAGGTAATGAACCTGTAGCTAGCCTGCTCTCACTGGTCGTCTCAAATTTAACAAATTTATAGATGGACGATGTAAAAATTTGGTGAAATGTGCCAGACAAAACCAGAGGAACAAGACAATGATCATAAATGACCGAGCTACAGATTAATTAAGACAATTTGGCTATTTCCGAATTTGTAATACTCAAAATAATTAAACTCGAAATATCAGAGAGGACAAGGAATTTGGCGTAAACAAGTTTTTTGTGTTTATACAATTAAACACATGTAACTTTTTTTTGTATATATTTAGATAATACCCTTAAAAATGATTTCTGGTTAACAATGTGAAACAAGAAAAGAACATTTGTACACATATTATACTCCTTATTGAAGATATGACAACAAAAATGTAAACTTGGCATTTAAACTTCATTTTACAACAAATTTATTACAGAAATTAAATTAATTTATAATATATATATAAAAAAGAGACAAGTGCACTTTTGATTTTCATTGATGAATGAAAAATGTATCACTTATCTACAAAACAAGTATTCTCTTATTTTGAAAATATGACAAAACAGCTTCAACTTAGCATGCTTAAAAGTCAACAAGTTTTATACCCTCTGTATCAAAAGACTTAAATTGATTGATTTAACATCATTATGTCATATGTTGAACAATATTCAAGCAAACAGATTCTTCTAGAGGTTCATTTGATCGCTTGTATAACAACATGATGCACTGTCGTATCGACAATTACATAATATCGGAAAGTTTAAAATTAATTACAATTAATCGTATTAATAAGAAGTTTATTTAAAAGAAAGCTCGATCGGTCGAATCGACGCTGTCTTTCTCATGTCCGAAAGTTCTTTTCTCCGAGGTTCTTAGCTTTCAGTCAGCCAAATGTCAATTTTAAGGTAATACACATATATTTAACAGAAAACATTAATGACAAGAGATTGTTATAAAAAAATTGGTTAAAATTGAATCCCCTGTCTTCTCTGATTTGAAAGACGAAATGAATTGCTTTAGCGGCATTCGAAACGTTTGAAAACAAAGGAAAAGCCGAACAACGTCGTATCTGGTGGAAACATTCCTGTCGGGTTTGGTAAGCTGACCTTGCCAATAGATGAAAAAGTGGTCGATTTTAAAGTGTTAACACGTTTTATTTGAAATAATATTAATAATAGGTAAAATAAACAGAGAGGAAGCAAAGGAAAATTGTTGAAAGCTAAATAACTGATGAGGGTAAATTAAAAAAAAAATTAAAAAAAGAAAAAGTGTTCTTGTGGAAGGAAGGGTGATTGTGTGAAGATGGGTTATCACAAGTCAGCCCCGCCGATGGATTTGTTCAGCGACATATGAGTTCCTTTGCCATCACTGGTCTGATAAAAAGTTTCAAAACGATGCGTATTCGGTGTGAAAGGGAGTATGAGGATGCGGATGAGGATGGCCTACAGAATCCAGCAGCGTTTCTTTCTGTTCTTGTTGGGCCCTTTGCCCTTCTGCTTTCCCCTCAGCTCCTTGTCCTTCCTGATCTCTCTGACGAGGGTGTAGAAAGCGTCGTCGACGCCCATCCTCGTCTTTGCCGACGTCTCGACGAACGGTATCGCGTACTGTTTGGCGATCTCCCTAGCCTGGTTCATGTCTACCGCCCATACGGGCAAGTCGCACTTGTTGCCTACGAGCACCATCGGCACTTCTTCGGCGTCTTTGACCCGTTTGATCTGCTCCCTGTACATACCTATGTCTTCGAAGGACTTGACGCTGTTGACGGCGAAGACGAGCAGGAACCCCTCGCCGGTCCTCATGTACTGATCCCTCATGGCACTGTACTCCTCCTGGCCGGCGGTGTCGAGAATGTCGAGAAGGCACGTCTCACCGTCGATCACCACTTGCTTCCGATACGAGTCCTCTATCGTCGGGTCGTACTCGTCCACAAAGTGGTTTTGGATCAGTTGGATGGTAAGGGCGCTCTTACCGACCCCTCCGGCCCCGACCACCACCAATTTGTACTCAGTCATTGCCGATTGAAGCACACACCTACTCCACAGAGAATACACGACTTCGCCTAACGAGAACGTGATTGTGCCTTTTTATTCCACTTCCCCTGGGGTTAAATCCGATCCATATTTCGAACCGACAACTGAAGGATCGTCCTTTCTTTCACGTTTTCCACCGAACACTTTTCTCTCTCGGACACTCCGGGCACCGTTACTACATAAATTATTTGTTATTAAAATGAGTAACCCTAACACTACAACAAAAATCAGATTTACCAACTACTCCCGTCAGAGCACACACACACACTCACGAACGGCACGGCGAGAGGGCTCCGTGAAAATATTCCGTCTCCGTTCAAAACGACCCGAAACTCGAGGAGACGAACGATTTGCGGAAAATCAGGAAATTCGAGCCTTTTACCACTATTAATCGTCTGTAATTTTCAATGGTGACTTTAACATTGATTTGGACTTTCACTAGTCCGCCGCTCGCCACTTCTCCCGCTCAACTTCAAAACGACGCTTTTTCACTAACGACCTCCTGGAAAACTCGACCTTCTCGGAAAATGAGGAGACGAACCAGGGGAGGGAACGACACCGCCACGTCAATAAGATCAAGCAGATTTTCCTTTATAAATTCGATTCACTCGGAAAATATCCTATTAATTTTGAACGAAACAACGTTCGTGACTCATTTCACTTATTTAAACAGTGAGTCATCTTCGTTAGCATGAAGCGCATTTAGTGTGGAATTCTAGGAAAATCCATGATTCTCAACTATGATCATAGAGGATTTTTAGAACAGTCTACTCTACAGTCTACAGTCTACACGTGCATTATTCACAACGCCCTGACATTTCATTATTATTATTATTGCCAAATTGGTTTAAAAAAATCCTTATATCATTTCAACTTATGTTTAACTTACTGAGGATTTTTCACTCATCATAAAAATCTAGAATTCTAGGAAAATCTATGATTCTCAACTGATCATAGTGGATTTTTAGAACAGTCTACAGTCTACACGTGCATTATGCACAACGCCCTAACATTTCATTATTATTATTATTGCCAAATTGGTTAAAAAAATCCTTATATCATTTAAACTTACTGAGGATTTTTCAATCATCATAAAAGTCTAAGAATTCTAAGAAAATCCATGATTCTCAACTGTCATAGTGGATTTTTAGAACAATCTTCAGTCTACACATACATTATGCTCTACGCCCTGACATTCCATTATTATTATTTGCAACATGGATTTAAAAATCCTTATATATCATTTAAACTTATATTTAAACTTACTGAGGATTTTTCACTCTTCATAAAAACCTAGAATTCTAGGAAAATCTATGATTCTCAACTGATCATTGTGGATTTTTACTACAGTCTACACATGCGTTATGCATAACGCCCTGGCATTCCATTAACATTGCCACATTATTTAAACTTTCAATGATAATATCAATATAAATTTAAAATTTTATAAATTATATACTGCTATTGTATAATAATAACTAGAAAAGATTAAAGTTTTTATATTTAACTAGGAACTTATACATAAAAATTTAGTGCATTAGATCGACATTGGTTTAACAAATCCTTATATCATTTAAACTTATGTTTAAACTTACTGAGGATTTTTCACTCATCATAAAAATTTAGAATTCTAGGAACTCAACATAAAAATCTAGAATTCTAAGAACATCTATGATTCTCAACTGTGATCATTGTGGATTTTTACTACAGTCTACACATGCGTTCTGCACATTCCATTAACATTGCCACATTATTTTCAATGATAAAATCTTTATAAATTTAAAAATTCATAAATTATTTTGTTACAGTTATTTATTGTATAATAATGACTAGAAAATATTAAAATTTATATACAAAACTATGAATTTATACATAAAAGTTTTATTGTTTACATCAACATTGGTTTAAAAAATCCTTATTTCAGTTAAACTTATATTTATACTTACTGAGGATTTTTCACTCCTCATAAAAATCTAGAATTCTAGGAAAATCTATGATTCTCAACTGTGATCAATGTGGATGTTTAGAACAGTCTACTGATTTAAGAATCTATAATATCATTTAAACTTATATTTAAACTTACTGAAGATTTTTCATTCATCATTAAAGTCTACAAATTTTAGGAAAATCTATATTTCTCAACTGTAATCATTGTGGATTTTCAGAACAGTTTACTCTACAGTCTATACGTGCATTATGTACGACACCCTGATGTTCCATTATTATTATTGCCAAATTCGTATAAAAAATCCTTGTATCATTTAAACTTACAGTAGATTTTTCACTCACCATAAAAGTCTAAGGATTCTATGAAAATGTATGATTCTCAACTGTAATCATTGTGTATTTTCAGAACAGTGTATGGATTTAAAAAATTCACATGTGTTTTGCTCAACACCCAATGCATTATCTCATTGAAACTTACTGAAGATTCTTCACCGATCATAAAAGTCTATGAATAAGGAAAATCTATGATTCTCAACTGTGATCATTGTGAATTTTCAGAACAGTCTATTATACAGTCTACATGTGCATTATACATAATGCCCTGGGATTCCATTATCATTGCACATTATTTACACATTCAATGATAAAATCAAAATACATTTAAATTTAGTTATACTTTTTATCTAGTTGTAAGATTTTGGTTGAGATGAGAAAGCGGTGTTATTTTGAAACATTAAAAAAAGAAACATTTTAGTTGAACTTCCTTTAAACATATAAGAACTAATATTAATTAAATCATTATTGTCAAATTCTAGTAATGGGAGAGTGGAACTGGTAGTTAGTATAGCCGTAAGGGACATTGAATAATGTAAATCTTATGTAGAAGGTCATTTCAGGACTTGAGATCAAATTGTTTAATAATTTTAGAGAAAAAAAACACAATCAAACCTAGTTATTCTATCTCTAGAGTATCAGACATTATTAAGACATAGTTACAATCAAAGTTGTTTCAAAAGCCAGTAACTATATCTAAGAAAACTGTTGAAACGTTTGAGAGGAGCAATGAAAAGAGCAATAGAAGAATATTCGTGTTGGGTGAAAAAAGAGGTAAGTAGTTTCAGTATTTCAATATTTTTAAAAGATTTTCTATGGAAAATTAAGACAAGTGTTTTCCTCAATCTGGTTTGAAATTTTATATCATCTATCAAGATAGAATCAATCAAAGATTTTTATCACTCCAATTCTATTTTTGAGTGTCGGGGCTCTAAAAGATCTTAGAATTCATTCTAATCATAACTCAAACTTAAAAATCATATTAAATCTACAATCAAACTACAGCGCTATAGTAAAATTCAATAATTATTACAGCTCACTTTTACTTTATAAGGCTCTTGTGAGGCCAACTCTTGATTATGGATGTGCCATTTGGAATTTACAAATGAGACAAATTGATGGAGACTGGTGTGCCCTCATATCTCATTTGGTTCAAGACTTGAGTATTTGGTGATAGTTCTTATGATCTCCATACATTGGCCAGACTGAAATCTGCAGATTTAATTTTGATTTCTTATTTGTCAGCCATATTGAATATCCTCTATTAACTTTCGCTTACCTCTTTGTGACCAAACAGCAGTTTATTTTCTCCGAAAAGTCACATTCTTCCAATATGTTCATTAAGCATACCTATACTAATGTCACTGTTGATCTTCATCATTTACCTCTTAATAAACTTAAAAATTATTTCCATAATTTTTCAATAATTAGTTTTATTAATGTATGCTTTGTATCATAACTTATGTAGATATAATTTTGTATTGTTCAATTTTTGCCCTATTTTGTGTGTTTCTTATTTTGTTCAGTTAGTTTTAATTATACATATATTACAAAATGTATAAACATTCAAAATTGTATGGGATGTTTAGTAACTGGGTTTTTACTTATAAAAAACAAATAAATAAATTATAGAAATGAAAAAAAAGTATTTCACTTTTTATGAATTGATTAATTCTTTTTCTATTTTTTTTATTTTTTTAAATTTTAAATTAAAAATTTTTTTTTAAATTTTATTTTTAATTTTTTTTTCTTCTTTTGTTCAGTTAGTTTTAATTATATATTACAAAATTTACAAACATTCAAAATTGTATGAGATGTTTAGTAACTGGGTTTTTACCTATAAACAACAAATAAATAAATTATAGAAATGAATAAAAAAAAGGATTTCACTTTTTATGAATTGATTAATTCTGTTTTTTCATTTTTTTTATTTTTTTTTATTTAAAAAAAAATTGTTTTAAAATTTTATTTTTATTTTTTTTCTTATTTTGTTCAGTTAGTTTTAATTATATATTACAAAATTTACAAACATTCAAAATTGTATGGGATGTTTAGTAACTGGGTTTTTACCTATAAACAACAAATAAATAAATGATAGAAATGAATAAAAAAAAGGATTTCACTTTTTATGAATTGATTAATTCTGTTTTTTCATTTTTTTATTTTTTTAAATTTTAAATTTTAAAAAAATTAAAATTTTTTTTAAAAATTACATTAGCCAAGCTTTTGATCAAATTTGGTACCCGGTTTTATGTTCAAGGGCATCTTTCCCTCTAACTACTATCTCATACAGCACAGCTACATCACTGAGTTGTTTTTTTATTTCTGAGTCTTTGATGGGCAATTCTCCATTATCCTAAATAAATTCTGGCCTGACATCCCATTCCATCCAGCTTAATGCAGGTGTGGACATGAATGTTGCATCTAGAGTTAAAAGTCTTGCCCAGGTCTGAGAAGGTAAGAATCTTCTCTACTTGGTTGCCTTTTATGCAGTATTTAAAGAAGGAGCAATTAAAGATTTCCTAAAACCTAAAATAACCTTTGAAATTGATACAGCAATGCTCTCAAGTAACTCTGATCCTGTCGTTTCCGCATCACCTTCAAAAACTCCTTACATTACTGGAATCTTGGGGGAAAAAATACTTAACCCACATAACATTCACTCTCCACAAAAATATCCTTCCTTAAGTTTACTTTACGAATTATTTTTCTTTTAACTGCGAAAAATGCGTTATACCTAGGACTGTACACCAACAAACGTTTGACGTGAAATTATAACATGATACAGAGTTCTTTGACAACTTCTTGCCAAATGCTCTGTTTTTCCTATAACAATTTCTAATAACAGCTGCTTTATATAACTTAGTTACTTACTGACTGGAAGTGTGGGGTCCAGCCAAATATTGAAATATCCACATCATCCAAATTTCCAAAATCCATAATCCCAAGAAAAACCCTTGAAGCTACAGTTTATCTTTCTGACAAAATTACCTATATAGACTTAAATATTCCTTACATACAAGATGTTTCATAAAACCCAACCAACCACCACAAATCATAAATTCAGAGATTCTTAACTTGACAAATTCCCTTAAACCTTTCTCGCTTATGCATGGCGAATATGATAATAATTAATGTTGAAAAATGCAAAATCCTGAAGTTTTTGAAGAGGTCTATAGCTTCCTCTTTTAAATATGGCATAAAGGGCAACCAAGTAGAGATGTTCACCTTCTTGGACCTGGGCATGACTTTTAACTCCAGTTGCAACATTCAAGACCAAATGAACAACACAATTAAAACTGCATATACACCTAAGCTTCATAAAATTTTTCACAGCATTTTTCCTACCCATTTTCTGTACCAGTCGATAGTACGAAGTCATTTAAAATATGCTCACTTAGTAGTCCTTCTGGGTCTGTTGATCGGTGCAGGTTGGGAAGAGTGTAGTGTGCAGTGATTATATCTGGTTTATAAATCAAGCTGCCACTTCGTACTCTAAGAAGTTACTCGTTGAATGCTGTCAAATCATAGCCAATCTAGTTTTTCATTGGAAAAGCTTTCACCATTGATGCTCTCGATATTCTTTTTTCATATTTATGTCCCTAATAAAAAATCTCAGAAGTCATTTGTACTATTACAAAACAAATTTACTATCACAAACAAACCAAAATTTTCGATGAATTTGGTAATGAGACAGACTTGTTTGAATTAGTCTGTATTTCTTAGTAGCCACCTTTAAAAGACAATAAAGCGGCAGTTCTGGGCACTGGGGAGAGATGTAGAGACAGATTTGCTGTTGAGTTTGATTAGTGATTACATTTACATAAGTCATATTTACTTGTGTCGTTACATGTTATATGATTTGTATGCTATGTTGACTGTCCCGTCGTGAGGTTCCATGCTGGGCCTGGAAATTTTAATAAATAAATATACTCTCGCTTTGACAAATTACCTCGAACCCTCCTCACAGATTAAAGAGTTGATGACCATGGGTCTTAATTATAGTCTCATTTCTTACTGAGTACTGGCAATGTGTAATTGAGGTAGTTTAAATGTATTGCACATTAAAAAAATTGAAAGTTATGATCTCTCTGTTTAATTCCAAACTGCAAAAATAAGCCAAAGATCATATGGATTAGACGGTATATATTTTAGAAAAATCTAGTACATTTTGTCAAATAGAGTTCCCAATATTCACGTTTTTAGGTTCTTCCATAAAATTCAATACATTTTTTAGAACTAGTTTATTTCTAAAAGACTCTATGCAAAGTAAAATTATAAATAAATGAATAGGAGAAATGAGTGGCAATCAAAAAGTAAGGTGCAAACACATTACTACATCATATCATTTATTTTCCATCAAAACATTCACAAAACATTTTGTGCTAATATTCTAAAAGATCTGATTTTTCAGATAATTACTGGTCCATTGGTGTTTATTGGGCGCATTCCATCATTTTCTGCAGTTCGGTCTGAAACAAAATATAAATATATGTGCAGCAAAGCGAATTCAAAAGAATTCTTGACACATTTTACGATTATAGTAAATTCGAGTTTATTTATTTTATGTGCAAACCTCAAAGCCTTTAAGTGTAAAATACCTCGGCCTTAATAGGAAAGCATAACTTTTTAGTAATAAGCTTATGTGAACTCCACTCTCATTGTGTGCTTTTAGGTTCTGTGTGTGTATATGCGAGAATATAAATTTTTTACTAAGGTAAATTGCACATCAAACTTTTTAACAAGTTTAAGATTAACCAAAGTTTTTTGCCTTAATATTTATCTTTTAAATTTTCATTTAATTCCCTAATTTCGTGGTCCGCTTGACCAATTAATACTTTACAATTAATTAAGGTTTTTAGTTGAGATGAAAAAAAGTTAATTGGGGTTGAGACGGGGAGTTGATGTCCGAGTGGATCGAGGTCATGATAGCTCAGGTGGTAGAGCAACGGCGTATCTAGCCGAAGGTCGTGGGTTCGAATCCCTCTCGTGCCATTAACTTTTTTTCATCTCAACTAAAAACCTTAATTAATTGTTTTCATTTAATGCTCAAAACAAGGTTTTAAAATTAATATAGCATGAAGTTGAATTCGAAATTAATTATTATGTGTGAAATAAAAACAAGAGAATTGGCAAATAGTTTTTAAGTTAGTTTTAATTGTTTAATCATTTTAAATAATTTTTTTAAAACAAATTTTCATCTTTATTTATCCTTGCCCACAGATAGGGTTTAGATAATTAATTTATTTTCACCCATAAAGAGTTAATTAATGACACGTGAGCAACAACTTAAAAAAAAAAAAATTACCTGCAAGCGTCTAGAGATGAAGAGGAGTGGGTTTAGATCGAATCTGCAGCTTGCAGGGTTTACTGCTCTTTTCCCCCAACCAGTTGAAAATGTTATTTGAGCTAAGGCTCCCACATATACGATTGACAGAAATATACTAAGGCAGAGGAAAATCGAGAACCTCATATTTCAATCCTGAAAAATAAGTTTATTTATTGGAATTTATTAATATCTGACATTTCTTCAGATACTGTGCTTTAACTTTTAATTATTAATATATAATTTGATAACTGAGTATTCTTAAAACTATTTTTATATAAACAAATATATAATTTGATAACTGAGTATTCTGAAAACTATTTTTATATAAACAAAGTAAAATATTATTTGCGAATTTAATATTGACCAAAGGAAAAGGAAACAAATCGTGCTTTTAATCAAAACAAATTGATTTTATTTCCAAGAATTTCATTAACAAAATTATATGGTTAAAAAGTGGCTTTTTCAAGTTTAATTTGCTGAAATTAGATAGATGTTCTTCTGTTTGCTTTGCTCCATCCCTTACTAAGTCTATAATTGTGAGTTTTTTGGTTGTTTTCAACCATTGTTCACTCAAGACTAATCAAAAAGAAAATAACTTTAATTCGTATCAACCAATCAATAAAGTCCTGATGTATGGTTCATATAGCAGGAACAAACTCCAAATCCTGATAGGATTCCTAACAGGACACTACAAGTTAAATGGACACTTAAAGAAGATTGGAATAATCCAAGATGGCACATGTAGATTCTGCAAACAGGCATAAGAGACACCAACACATCTACTAATAAACTGCGGTGCTACACTTGCCCACAGAAGGAAGTGTTTTGGGATGTATAATTTGACCATAGAAGAGCTTCAACCATTGAAACCAGGCCTATTAATCAAGTATCTTGATGAAATAAAACTCACCGATGTGCTTTAGGCAGAGTACGGGGGATACAATAGCTCTTAAAGGGCGCAGTATACTATACCCTGAAAATTACATCTGGTTTATATAATATATAACTTTTTTAGTTTGCCTTTCTTGGTGATTTTGGTTTTCAACTTTTCAACTTTTTCAATGGTGGGATAACATAAAAAGAAAAATAAAGACACAACAATCAATCGGAAAAAACCCACACAGACACACTTTTTCAAACAGCGTTAGGAATGGAGAATTGCAAGTTCTTCAGGGTAAGGAACACTAAAATAGTTGACTTTCAAAAATCATTTGAAGCACTTATAAACCTGAAAATTTAACTTTAAAAAACTTTATGTGTAAAAAGAGGTTGTAGTTCAATTTTAAAAATATTAAACCATTACTACCCCCTTAAAATAAACAAGTAGTCCATCTAAGTATAAAGTTAATGTATTAACTTTTTGTTGCATTTATTTTAATTTTCCACTTTTTGGAATATAAGTTCAGGAAGAACTGCATATTATATTGAAGTTTTTTGATTGTGATCACGGAATCTTTATTCAGAGAAAGAATTGCTGTAAATTCAGGAAAAGTGGACAGTTGTTCTGAGAATCGGAATGCAAGAATGCACCTTTGTGGGACCCCTTCCTTGGTCAGGATAAATAGGGGATTTTGCTGTCAGGTATGATTTTAGGATTAGATAGGAGGTATTTGGGTAGGCTGTCTTCCAGCTTACCTGCCGAAGGCTTGAGCAATGTCAAGGATCAAACCCTGACAACACCGGTCGAATAATCTAATATTTTCGACCTAGTGCCATACAATTTTTAAAAATTAAAATCGGTGATCCAACGTCAGTAGCTTCCCTTGTCAGTTTTATTCCTCTGTTCATGATTTGCTTGTAGACCAATCAGCTAATTAATTTGTCTATTTCTATCTTTGTTATGTTTGAATAGCTTTTTGTACAGAAAAAAACAAAATTAAGCCGGGACTTATTATTGAACGTTAACGAAAAAACTTGTAAAACAAAGGTTGTTCATTTTCCGGCGCTCTACTTACACCATAACGCACAGCAGATGAGTATTCATGGTTTAGTATATATAACGCCTAACCGTTGCGGGCACCGATGATTTTTGATTTAATGATTTATGGATTGAAAGATTGTAAAAACTAATAAAATTTATGCTTATTTTTATATAGTAGTGTAAAGAAAAATGTATAAATTTTTTACACGGCAAATGAGTTTTTAGCAAAACTTTTCACACAGTAATTTAGGTGTCTAACAGAAACCGATTAAAAATATATTTGTAATTATATCATACATGTTGGATAAAGGAATATAGTACCTGATTTGTAGTTTTCCAACTGGGCCGGATAGAATATCCCAGGACGGCGGTTGTTCGCTTTTTATAATGTGAGAGAAACTCCCCCACTCGCGTAGAGAAGGGACGGAAAAAAAGTGACGCTGTTGATGAGAAAATTTTGTGAGCTTCTTTCTTTCTTTTATGGTTTCTTTTAGAAAGATTGGTTCTATAAAAAGTCCTAATTTGAGAACAATATGAAACAAGGTCAAGATTCGTATATATTGTCTTTTTTTGAGATTACATTTTTAAACTGTCATTCTTTTGTTTAAAGTATTACTTTGTTTTTACTAGTTTTCAAAACATAATAAATGCTCTTCTTCTTTTATTGGCAAAACTTTTCACTTAAATGTATTAACAAATATTAAATATTTGAGTGAAATATCTACTATTGCAGTTTTGTTTAGTAAAATTAAAAAATTCTTCTGATCAACGTGAAAACTGAGATGCTCATACACGTAGTCAGTAAAATTCCTTGTTGAGAGATTTATAAATCTCTTAGCTTGCCTCATGATCTTTTCTTCAGTGCTTGAGGCTTTCTTTATCAAATCATTTTTCCAGCTCCAACTTTAGCGCAATATCGAGTGTGTCTAGTTGTAGTTCATTGGGTGACAGAGGTTTCTTCTTTACCCAGTAGGTCAGCATGTTAGTTTCCTTTGAACTTTCATGTCCTAGAACCCAATTGAAAGTAATCTTGCCCTTGGGCCATTAGGAAATTGAGACAGTTTCAGACTAATTTGTCGTAAAAAGCATACGAATTTAGTGTTTTTATAGCTGACTTTCGGAATGTATGTAAATCCGTGCTCTTTTCATTTCCTTCTTTAAGACGACTTGCATAGATCTTGGCTTAGAGTTATAACATTTTTTAAATAAGAGATATTTTTGTTGAGTCAGGATAAGCTAATCCCTCAACCGGAGTCGTTGGTAAAACTGGTTGAGACACGAAAGGAAGAGGAAGGACCTTTTTCTCAACTTCGTCAGAAGCTTATTATTTTTTTATAATTGTAAATGGCAAGGATTCATGTATGGCACACTGGATTATTTTTTAATTTACTTTTAATAAACTGTTTTCTATTTTAGTCTATTTGGGTCATGTCCCCACATTTTTTAAAAATTAAATTATTTGAGTTTTTGGCACTAGTCTTTATTGACATTCGCGAATCACACGATGATGGTGTGAAGGAGATCAGCACAAAAGTTCATTATAGAATATACTTGGAACCAGGGAGTTTTGCTGGAAGAACCCCTTCCTGAAACTTGGATATATCGATTCAGCCACACTTCCAGATCTTATAGGAAATTGAACGCTGAGTAAAAAAGGTCCTATGAACCTGTGACCGCAAACCCTTCAGTTCTGAGCTACAGGCAAAAAACCATGAAAAACCACGTTTTTTGACCTTATTCGTGAAATTGTTAGTAAACCGTTAGTCTAACCGTAAAACAGCTCGAAACAACATCTGTAGAAGATTAATTTCTGCGTCGAATAAAATTAAAACCAGCATGATCGGCCGAAAATTTCATTTTTGGCGATTTTTCGAAGTTAGGAGGTGAAGGGGTACACAAAATTCACCATTTCTAACATGTGTTTTCTGATTGGTACCTCCTACTGAATGAAATAATGTACGAAAAATCTGAACGGCTTACCCATCAGAAAACAGTAACATTCGATTTGGGTGAAAATCAGTAAATTAGCCTTTTTTTACCCTTTCCACCACCCCGCCGTACCTGAGGAAGACCCCATACCGGCGGACAAACGCTTTAGCTTAATCGAATTTGTATATCGAAGGGATTTCAAATAAATGGGATAAAAATACCTCCCAACGATTTTTCTTTCAGGCGAGACCGCTGGTCGGTTTTTGAAGGGACCATATTTTCATTTTAGAACCTAAAACAAAAGGTCTTCCCTTGCTGGTTTCCCCTTGCAAATTTACTTTTCCTTGGTATTATTTTCTATCTATTTATATTATCTAAAATTTTCTTACTAAAAAGAGGAAAACAGCCCGGAACCCTGAACCTAAACTTATGTTTAATTATGCAATAAATAAATAAATAACGGTAATAAAAGTTTAACAATAATAACATTATTTAGGACTTAATAATTAGAATAAATAGGGACTTGTTCATTTAAGCGTATTTGGATGTTAGCCGACCTTTATTGCTATTGTCCATCTTTCTTGCCATGATGCCCTTGTCACTTTTCCCAAGTACTCTTTCGCCTCCTTCCCCGTTGTGCTTCGGAACCAATCTATTTCTCCTTGGCTTGCTCCTATATCAATAGCCTCATTTTTCATTTTTAGTGGATGACCACCCTTTCTTTAAGGACTAGGTCTATTGGCAGTGCGTTGGCTATTACTTGTAGGGCATGTGTTGAAATCGTCCTGTAAATTAGCCAAAATTCGAATGTTTTATGAATCAGACTGGGGTTGGTCTAATCTGATGGAGAATTCGATCACCAACAAACGAGGTTTGTAACGGAGAATTTTTTGATAGGGTGTTCAAGTTGTGAATTTTCGATAAAAATGTCAGAAATGGTGAATTTTGTGTACCCCTTCACCTCCTAACTTCGAAAAATCGCCAAAAATCCGATCAGGCTGGCTTTAATCTCTTTCGACGCAGAAATTAATCCTCTACAGATGTTGTTTCGAGCTGTTTTACGGTCGGTAAAAACTAACGGTTTACTAAAAATTTCACAAATAAGGTAAAAAAACATGGTTTTTTGCCTGTAGCTCGGAACTGAATGGTTTGCGGACACAAGTTCATAGGACCTTTTTTACTCAGCGTTCAATTTCCTATAAGATCTGGAAGTGTGGCTGAATAGATTGGGGCCACCTTGTATATATATAGGATGATCGACTACTCGTGTTACAAACTTGGACAGTAGATTATAAATTCAAAATGGAAACAAAAAGTCCTAATTAACTATATATTAATGGTCCGAATGTCTACAGTTTCGGAGTTATTCCACTTTTTCTGATTTTTTAAGATTTCACAACCTTGCTTCAAATAAACAATAATAACTCTAAAAAGACCACCCCGATTCGGCCTGACGACGTTAAGAGAATAGTGAAAAATATGATGTTAGACAAGTGGAAGCGTTGTTGGGCCGACTCGACTGACGCGTTGGTGTCCGTTAAGCCGACGGTCGACCGGTGGAGCCCGGAGGGGATATCTCGAAGGGAAAGCGTTGTCCTGACCCGCCTGCGGATAGGCCACACACGTGCGACTCATGGGTACCTGTTGGTTGGCGCGAGTCGACCTAGGTGCCCAGCATGTCAAGTAGACAGACTCACGGTGGCGCATGTGCTGGAGGGGTGTCGCAGCTTGGCCCTGTATAGGGACCAAAATGGAATACCGCCGGGTTATAGAAGAATGCTCGAGCATGGTAGCGAATTCAAGGACAAACTTTTTAGGTTTCTAACAGATATTGGGATTATGGGTTGTATATAGAGGGGTATTTATTTTATAGGTTTAAGTTTAGCTTTAGTTTCTGGTAGAATAGAAGTATGTTGGTGGGCGGTGCAGCATATTATTTGAAGGCTCCACCGCTGCTCCGGTAAACCGGTTCGGGGCGGAATATCGAGTACCCTCCGACCCGGATTCCAGACAGAGGATATGCATGTGTGATTGGGTTTGTATATAGTAGTATGAGTGAGTGTGAGACTGACTAGTTTTAGGGAACGTAAGGGCGCCGAAATGACCAAAGAAGTCGATGGCGCCCGACCAGAGCCCAACCTCGGAGTCGCTTATGCACCAAGGTGGGTGACTCCCCCTGATCTATGAGGGAGAGGCCAGAGGCCTCCTAGGAGGTCTCGCAATTCTAATTCTAATAACTCTAAAACTGAAAGGTTTTGGACAAAGCCGTTAATACCGTTGAAAACTACGTTAAATTTCAAATAAGATGTGATCATTACCAATCTTGTAATCGTTCGTGAAATAAGCGTTTTAGTAGCGAGACTTCAAAAAAATTTTTTTTTTCAAAATTGAAAAACTTACCATGGTAATTTTAAACTACTTTTCCAAATCTAGAGACAACCAAACGTACACCATTTAATGCCCTTTTTAGTGCTGCTATTGCTTTTTTAATTACTTTTTTCAAAGATGAAGAAATTGATGAAGGAAAGGAAAAACCATGGTTGAAGGATTAGAAAGGTGGAAAGATTAATAATAAAAAAACTTAAGGAAATTTTGAATGCATTTATTAAACTTTTTTAATTTTGATTCGAAATGCTCTCCACCTTCTGTAATGTATTTTCGACGCTCTGTCGACGCATTAAACCAACAAAACTCGTACATAAGATGTATATCAGCGTATTCTTCATTAGAAAAAGTATCTTTAGTGTTAACAAGATTCACATAAATAACTAAAAACGTTTTGAAACTTAAAACTGTTATTCCGGAGAATAAAAATAAAATTCTTTAATCAAAGTTGCAGTCGTGTTAGTAAATAAGTAAATACTTTCACTATTTCGGTTTCGAACCAAAATTTAAAAAACGTTTAATAAATTCATTCAAAATTTTCTTAAGTTTTTTTTCGTTTAAATTTCCACCTTACCAATCCGTCAGCCATGTTTTTTCTTTACCTCCACCTATTTCTTCATCTCTGAAAAAAGTAATTAAAAAAGAAATTTTACCACTAAAAAGGATATTAAATGGAGTACGTTTTCTGAAATTTGCTGATCTCTATGTTTAGAATAGTATAGTAGTTTAGAATCACCATGGTAAGTTTTTTTAACTTAATCTTTTTTCTCAAAGTTCTCACTACTAAAACGCTTATTTCACGAACGTTCACAAGTTTAGTATTGATCACATCTTATTTGAAATTTAACGTAGTTTTCAATGGTATCAACGGATTTGTGCAAAACCTTTTAGTTTTGGTGTTATCATTGTTTATTTGAAGCAAGGTCGTGAAATCTTAAAAAATCAGAACAAGTGGAATAACTCCGAAACTGTTGAGATTCGGACCTTAGTTAATAAGGAATTTTTGGTTCCATTCTGAATGTAGAATCTACTGGCAAAGTCTGTAACACGTATAGCCGAACACC